CTAGGTTTCAGAAAGGTGCTTTGCGGTCGATATGCGCCCTCGATGCGCACTTTTGCCGAGCCACAGCAGACTTCTTACCGACAGGCAAAGCAGCGTTACGTCACGAAAGTGCGCACTCGTAGGAAGACCGCGAGTGTTTAGGGTGCCACGCGCAGTAGCCTAGCCTGAACCGAGAAGGCTACATCACACTCACTAGCTGTGTTTTTGTTTGTTTTTTGCAAAGTGAGGGACATACTTGATAATGTTAGATTGCACATCGTTAACCCAATGAGTACGATATTATCACAGACAATAAATATCGCAAACCCTTAATCCTTAGGTTCACCAACTTGAAATTTGAAAAACTAGCCTACTTCAATTGGGCACTTCTGTAAAGCGTCTACAGGCCAGCGGCAGCGTTTCAGAAACCCTGATGTAATGACCTGTGGTACGAGTGCCTGCAAACACACACTCCAGATGGCCCTGGAGCCGAGCCATAAAACACAATTAAGCAGAGAGAATGCAAGTCTTGAATATTTGAATGCTTGTCCATCTGATGCAGAAGCATTGGTGGTTTGATTTCAGGGGCACGGCGGATTAAGCAGATAATCAAACATCACGGTCATGGAAATAATATGACACTGTGTAAAGCGCTGGCTTCCAACATCTACTCACGGGTCAACACAAACATGTGGGCTGAAGGTTGTGAAGCGCTTATTGAGATTCTCCAGCCCAACATTACACTTGAAATATCAGTGTGTTGTGTGTAATATTCTTTATGGTCATTCTGTCATCCTTTACTTGCCCTCATGTGGTTCCGAAACTCATGAATTTCGGGGCTTCCCACCAGCACCACTCAACCTTTGCAGATGATCCAGACCTGTGGGATTAACTTCTCTGCAATGTCGTCTGCCATTTTAAATACCTGAGCCCCTAAATTAGAATAGATTCTGATTGGCTGTCAGTGTTTTATCGTTCAACAGCTGGGAAAAAAAATCTTTCCAAAAGTAATCCGAACGATATCGTTTCTCTACATCGTTATCGCTATAGCTGTGGTGTGACCTCTGCTATTCTTTAATATTGAGAACGATTTTTAAAACTATATCTTTATCGTTATTGTCCTTGGTGTGAACGGGCCTTAAGAGTGATGTGAAGTTTTAACGCTGGCTTTCAGGACCGCCACTGGAACAGCTCAACCCACCACTAATGCCTCCCTCTCCGAAGCCTTCACTCTCTCTGCTCCTCTCGGCGGATGAGCTGCCAACCTCCACGAGAACTGCTGAGAACATCACATCTGTCCAGGAGCCGCTGAAGGAGCACCTCTACACAAGCACTCAATGACCCCACACACACCTGCATTTCTTCTCCTCTCTAGCTGGTTTTCTGAACTAGTTGTCTAAAGATTGTTTAACGCTGCTCAAAGGTGGCATTAATGCATTTACACAGCAAAACAGTATTGATATTAGGGGCTGAGGTGGGTCAGAGCAAGCACAATTTAGTCTGGCACTGCGTCTTTACACTGAAGGCACAGACCAGCCTTAAATCGGCTGTGTAATAAACCTGGCATTGTGTACTACAGCGATTGTTGACTCCTTGATGAACGCTTTGTTCTGCTAAATACATAAATGTAAATGTTGAGCAGCAAATCAGCATATTAGAAAGATATTTGAAGGATCATGTGACACTGAAGACTGGAGAAATGATGCTGAAAATTCAGCTTTGATCACAGGAATAAATTACAGTTTAATATATATGCGTTTAGGCTATTTGGTCAAATAATACAGTAATATTGTGAAATTTGATCACAATTGAAAAGAACTGCAGTTGGGTGAGCCTTGGAGACCAACAGAAAAAAAGAAAGAAATTAGTTGAAAAGCTAAAAAGAAAAACTCAAATATATATATTTTAGTTTATTTTTTTTAGCTTTTAAACTAATTTCTTTCCTTTTTTCTGTTGGTCTAATTAGAGATTAAAGCTAAACTTAAATGCATAATCATCAGCATGCTGGATGAAGCCATCTAAAACTGTGAAATAAAAATACAAATGAACTAAGCTTATAAGCAAACATCTCTGCTGATGAAAACCACTGAAAATGAGCAACAGAATGTAGTTTGTATTAAATCAACTAAACACAGAAAACAACTGAAATTCCAGCAGACATTCCCAGCATCCCTCAGTGAATAAAACAGCTCAGACGAGCCACATCTCCAGTTACAGGTGATGCTGGCCATGCCATGACCTGAAGGTTTAGAATTGTACACTCCACATATCAGATTTCTAGATATTTGACTGATTGTCGTGTATAGGATCAATAATGCAGGACCAATGATAGAAAATGGCTTGTTTCCTCTGACGTGCAGCCGCTGATATTAACTGACTACAGTAACATCTCGCTTTCTGGGCATCATGTACATGTGTGGCTAATACGTTCCGTGTTAATAAAACTCAAATGTAGCTGTCCAATAGTGACAGTATTTAAGGTAAAACAATAATGCACGGTGTCAACATCAGCACCAGTTTGAAGGTCTGATAGGCTTTATGAAATCGATCACTGAAATGTCCTTGAAAGACTGCAAACCAGAAACATTCAAAACAAACATCTCCAAGGCATTGCGCTCAAAATAGCAAACAATAATCGGCAATTAATTGTGTGTCGACCGCTAAAAACGACCATCAAGCAAATTCCAGCTCATGTGCATTTCACAACCTTATATTTTAAACAAACATTACATCAAAACAGACACTGACAAGCATAAACACACACGCAACTTTACACGCAGAGATGAAGTCACGTTTCTACTCCAATGTGAGGCTTATGTAATGATCCATCTAGTGCTCATATGCCCATCATCAACATAATCATATATTATAGACACAAGGATGATGACATATAACAAAACGATAAAAAGAATAGGCTATGTCCAGAAATAAACTCAATACCGTTATATGTTATTATGCCAGTGACCTTTAACAAACATCATGTAATAAAATCATCATACATGTGCTAATCACGCATTACATCCATAAATAAGTAATTTATCTACTCAAAAATCGACAACTAGAATGATAAACCTTTAAAAACAGATAATGACAGTAAACGAGCATGAGGTCATTATATTTATGTACATACCTGATGTCAATTCCACCTCAAGGAAAGAAAAGCCCTTTTGTTTACCTCTTCCTTCTTTCACGACGATTTGATATATTTCCTTATGAATACACGAGTAAATAGGTAACTTAGCTGCTAACGTTAACGTAAATGTTTTGGTTTAAAATCCTCCTGATGTCCTTCGTGTTAGCACAACGGCTAATATCTTCAGATCAACAAGACCGATTTACAATGATCTGACTCCACTGTCCACTGACCATCTGTATTTCAAAACAATAAATGCATGCCCGATAACAATGTTAAGATTTCAAGTACAGTTTTACTATTTTAACCGCTAAACCCTTTTTCATTCGTCTAGTGTGTGGATGCTAACGCTGATGCTAGCACACACAAACAGAGCTCACAAACCTGTTAAAAAATCTAACTTTTAAAAAAATAATAATACTTGAAATAAGGAGCTGAGAAAATATTAACTGGCTTATTTAGTTAAGTTTAAATGCTAAATAAATTGCCAGATATTTATAGCGGTTATGATCTCATCTCGTCCGTGCAGCTTTGAGGGCTAATCCTGAGAAATTAAATATTTCATCTAGCAAATAAAAAATAAATAAAAAATCGATTTGCCTCTTTAATCTTTATCATACCCTGCTTTATCTGTCACTTACAAATAATTTATATATTAATATTTAAGGGACTCTTTTCTATTCTATTCTAATAAACCTCATCAAATAAAGGTGCAATATCGTCTTATAAACACTAACTAATTAATATATCCGACTATCTAGTGCGTTATTCGCACGTAAAGCCTTTTTCTAGCTCAAACACGCAGTGAGTGTGTGCAGCGCCTGAGAGACTGAAATAGCAGCACAAACTGACGGTCAGACAGACACACACACACACACACACACACTGACTCCAGCAGCAGTATCATATACTGCCATCTGCTGACACACAACTACCACAACCACCTCTGGCAAGATCAAAACTTTAGTATTGCCATCGTCATCGTATTTACACATACATAGCCTACACGTTTACAGAAATAAATGAATGAATAGTAATAAGATAACTAAGATAAGTAAAACAATAGGGTGCTCTAGAGACAAAAGTATGTGAAGTGGGGGAAGCAGGTCTCCTTAATATTTGTATAATCACAGTCCAATTTAGGGTGGGATCACTGATCACGCAGCACAGTCTTCCTCTGTCTGTGTTATATGATGAGTCTGAACTCTTAGTTCAGGGTCTGTCACTGTGCTGAGGTGTGTGTGTGTGTGTGTGTGTGTGTGTGTGTGTGTGTGTGTGTGTGTGTGTGTGTGACCCATTACATTCATATTTACTTAGCCAGGAGAGTCTGTTAAGAACTTTAAGTGTTCAATCTTTTACAATTGATGTGCAAGTGAGATTACTGATCTCACTTGCACAAAAACAGATTCAGTATTACTCTAAATGAATAGAATCATGAAATGCAAACTCTGCATATTACACAAACCTGCAATAGTTACATAACACAATACTTTATGTATTTAATCTTACTTTATTAACCAATGTCTTTGCTACTGACCAAATTCAACCATGATGATCCAATTCAACCATACTAATAAGAGCTGGAAATGGCTGAGGCGGGGATCTAGATTTGTATCTAACCAATTATACTCCTTCTTGATGTCAAAATGATTTCAGGCTTATTAATTTAAGCTGCGTTTTGTTTAAAACACAATTACACATTTTCCGAAAATGATAGCGACAGCGTCTGTGAGCTCCTGAAGAGGCGCTGAAGCGCGTCCTGGTGTTCGCTGGTTTGCTTCTCTGCCGTAGAAGAAGAAGACTCCCCCTCCGCCAATCAGAGGAGCGCTTACTGGTGTTTTCTGCCCTGCGGCTCCGCCTCAGCCAATCAGAGGAGCGCTTACTGGTCGTGAGCAGCAACGGACACGCTTTTCAACAGAACGCACTGGCATCAAAACATCGGGGGCTTAAAATGATGAATTTGGGGTGAGTGTGATCTTAAATTATGAATTTGCGGTGAGTGTGATGTTAATGTATGTCACATGATTTGATAGATTAATAAACGGCTGTCTTTGACCATGTTATGCTGTAATGTGTCACACTGAACTGTGCGGTTTGCACTGAGAAAGGACGGGCGATTAAAGGATGCGATATTTTATGACATGCATGCAAAGATATCGGGATAATCTTTTTATTTTACATTGACCTTTGCAATAAAGCACTGTCGCGGTAACAAGGTACACTGGTGGTATATGATGGTAATCTCATGGCTCTTTCATATACAAACCAGAGCACTGATGTACTGCAATAATCACACTACTCCATGGGCTTAACCTTTAACATGGCGCTTGTTAGAATGAGTGTGTTGCACTCCGGTCAGGTGTATTGGTGTGTTTTGCAGGGATGGTCTGGTGTTTGAGCTGGAGAATGGCAAGCCCAGGCTTGTGTTGGCTAAGTATGGTAAGAACACGATCTTAATCACTTCATTGTCCTTGAATGTAATCCGATAACTTTGATCCAGTGCATCAACATGCAGTTTCACACTGTGGATCATAGAGCTTCACAATAATGTGTTTTCTTACTGTAAACTCAAAAGTAGGGGTGGGCAAATATATCATATCATGATTGTTTACAGACAGGAGTATGATCCACAATCTTATCCCAGTTTTCATGTTGGTTTTTAAGACTGTTTTGCAGGTTAGTGAGTGTAGCCAAACTAATGATAAATATAGCCCTACACAATAACCGAACATAAATGAAAGAAGGCCAAACTCTAGGGGTGGGTGATATGGACAACATCTTATTTTCCTCGTTATTTTTATATTTATTAATTCATTCATTACTTTTATATTAATAAAAGGATACAATTCCCAGACAATATTAGACAGATACTACAGAAATAAACTTCTGGCACAGTAGGTCAATTTTAAAAGGAGTATTCAAGCTAGAAATTAATGGAAAATAGGTCACACTTTACTTGAAGGGGTGTGCATAAGACTGACATGACACCTTCATAATCATGACATGACATATGTCATGAATATGAAGTAGGGTTTATGCATGTTTATGACAACTGTCATTAAGTGTCATTCGCTCAATTATGACATTTTGAATGCAAATATGACATTGTTTAAGATGTCTTTGTTATGACAACTTGACATTACCAAGACAACATAAATTGTTATAAACATGACATAGCAGATTAATTATCAAACTTAAGAAAGCACTGAGCTTTATGGGTTAACAATACATTAAACTGTCAGGCGGCTGGTTTTGACATTGGCTGTCATGAGGCCATTATAACTGTGTCATGAATATTTTTCTTGACCTCGACTACAGTGGTACACATTGAATTTGTCATTAAAAAGTTATAATGGCTTCATGACAGCCAATGTCAAAACCAACTACCTGACAGTTTAATGTAATGTTAACCCATAAAGCTAAGTGCTTAAGTTTGATAATTAATCTGCTATGACATGTTTATGACAGGTTGTGTTGTCTTAACACTGTCAAGTTCTCATGACAAAGACACTGACAGGTTATGATGTATTGGTTTATGTCAAGGTGTCATAACAAAGACATCTCAAACAATGTCATATTTGCATTAAAAATGTCATAATTGAGCGAATGACACTTAATGACAGTTGTCATAAACATGCATAAACCTCCTTCATCTTCATGACATGTGTCCTGTCATGTCTGTATTTCGGCTGATGGTCTCGTCTTATACAGGTGCCGAATCCAAATCTTCTAATAAGAAGAGCTCTTGTCGGGTAAGTAAACATCCATGCAACCTTTTTGCAAGAACAAAAAAATTGAAATAAAATATGTAAGTGTGTTTTAACATCCAAATTCTAGAGCTTATCAAACATGAATGTTGTTTTGAACTGTTTGTTACTTGCAGTGTTGGGGAAAATTACATTTAAAAAGTAATGTGTTACAATATTGCGTTACTCTCTAAAAAAAGTAACTAATGCATTATTATATATATATATATATATATATATATATATATATATATATATATATATATATATATATATATATATATATATATATATATATATATATGCATTACTTTTTCTCACCTGGACTTGGCTAGCTTGTTTAATAAGTTGTATTTTTGGTAAATGTAGGTGTGATGGTATAACATTTTCATGTTGCTATAATCGCTGAAGCTTTTATCATGGTATACGGTATTATCACGATATTGAAGTAAGTTGCAAAAAATGTGTTGTCATGCTATAACATGTTTAATAACTTTTTTTCTGATAACAAAAAGAACTCTGAACATATAAATACACAAAAAATTTATAAAGATCAAACAGATTAAAGTGCAAAAGAATATCGAACAATAGGCAACACTTTACAATATGGTCCCATTAGTTAATGCATTAAATAAATGCTTTTGATTTTAGTAATGTATTATTAAATGTTGAAATTTACTTACATGATTAACGGGATGTGAATTGTGATGTCATTTTTGCTTATTAGTATGGTTGAGTTGATTCATGGCAGCAAATGATCAGCAGCAAATACATTGTTTAATAAAGTGAGGTTAAATACATAAAGTATTGTGTTATTTAACATACCGGTATTTGATTATTGCAGATTTGCATAATATTCTGAGCTTGCATTTCACTGTTTTTATTAATTTAGAGGAAAACTGAATCTGTGAGATGAGTAAATGCTCACATTTAGCCAATCAGCATCATGTTCACACACAACACCTCTGCACTTACTCACGATTCCTCTCAATAACTAAATTTTTTTTTTTTGTAAATTCAGAAGTAATGCGTTACTTTACAGGTGAAACTCGAAAAATTAGAATATCGTCCAAAAGTTCATTTATTTCAGTAATTCAACTTAAAAGGTGAAACTAATATATTATATAGACTCATTACATGCAAAGTGAGATATTTCAAGCCTTTATTTGTTATAATTTTGACGATTATGGCTTACAGCTTATGAAAACCCCAAATTCAAAATTAGAATATTGTGAAAAGGTTTTCATATCTGTAAGACATAATCATCAAAATTATAACAAATAAAGGCTTGAAATATCTCACTTTGCATGTAATGAGTCTATATAATATATTAGTTTCACCTTTTAAGTTGAATTACTGAAATAAATGAACTTTTGCACAATATTCAAATTTTTCGAGTTTCACCTGTACTAGCGTAAGTAATCTGATTACGTATCTTAAATGTTAATTATAATATGTTACCCCCAACACTGGTTACTTTTTTTTTTATACTTTCAATTTTTATTAGAATTTTATGTCAACAATAAAACAAAAAGGGAAATAAAATAAATAACATACATTGAACAAAATCAGAGGAGGCCAAGGAGGAGGTACCTAGTACAATTGAAACAAAAATAAGTCTAGTTGTACCTTACATTTACAATACTTCTACCATCTTTTGCATAAATTTACCAGAAACCCAATCAGTAGAGTCACACAAACTTAACACACAGTATACAGTTGTATTGGGAAGAACAGTTATGCAGATTCTAGGGCCAGAAAATGGGTCCATTTTCTCCATTTTTCTGTAAATGCTGACTCTCTTAACCATGTCCAGAAGATGTGGGCGTGGTTTGCATCCCTACTACCACAGTCCCTCCAACAGTCTTGAGGTATCCCAAGTTGTTTACTCTTCAAATAAGGAGTGATGAAAAACCTCATAAAACACTTCCAATTAAATTCTCTCCACTGTTGGGAGTTGGTGGAGGTCTGGAGTAGGCAACATGTCTGATACCATTCCTCCTCCGTGAGGACGACCTTTAATTCACATTCCCATTTTGCTTTTACATAGAGTGGAGTGTTCTCCATCAGACTCGGATAGAGTTTAGACACAATCTTATTGGTCTTTTGTTGATAAGCCCCACACATTATTTCAATAAGAGGGTTTACCACGTCAGAAGAAAACCTTTGCAGTAGTAATCTCTCAGCTGTAAGTATCTGAATAGATCCTGGTTATTTAGATCAACACTATCCTTTAGCTCCTGAAAACTCTTCATCTTGTTGTTTTTGATGGCTATGCAGAGAGCTGTCAGGCCCTTATTCATCCAATCTTTAAAAGTACTGTCATAAATAGCCGGCTTAAATCTGTTATCCAGTGCAATCCATCTCAGTATTTCAGGATCATTTTTAAGTTTCAATTGCTTAATCAGAGAGAACCATATCCCAAGGGAAAATATAACTATAGGATTCAGACCCTTTCTTAGAGTGCCTTCCTCTCCCAACAGGGTTTGAACATTATAATCTGGTACATAAGTCTCAATATCTTTCCATCGTGCAATATAAGAGTTATCACACCAAAGGCACAAAGGTCGTAGTTGTGCAGCTTGACACTGGTTACTTTTGTGTGATCTCTATCCTTTGTGTTCAGATTCCTCCAAGGAAAAACCCCCAGAAAATCATCAACTCAAGACAAGGCCCTCCTCAGCCAGACAAAGCCCAACAGGACAGAAAGAGCAAAGGTTCAGTAGGGCAGAGTCTCCCGCACGGACCCAGAGGGGCCGGCGCCCAGCACAGCACGTCCAGCGCGGCAGCGAGAGTGATGAGAGAGACTGATCCCGGCGCAGTCACACGGCAGAGAGAGAGCGTGGTGTGTTTGACACAGGAGCAGTTTCAGCAGATACTGAGCACCATCAACAGCTCCTCCACTGCAAGCGCACACACACACACAGGTGAGGCTCTACACCATGACCAACATGCATGTGAATAACTTCATCCATAACATTCTTAAGCACAACATTTATTCTCTTGTCGGCAGAAACTGTGGCCAGCTCAGAGGAAACCTGTCATGGAGCTACAGAAGCGGCTGAAGCGCTCATCCCGGATGCACATCACCATAAACACAGAGTTTCAGACCGAGAGTAAGCAAAGTGACGTGTGTTAAGATCAGCTGGATCTGATGAGGGGGATCTTTTTAAATGTGCTTAGTTGTAATAGTAATAATGCAAGAATGAAAGGACATTTTACGAAAATCTAGTTGTTTTTAAGGCCCTGTTATACTCACTGCAAAATTCATTTCCATTCTTCACTCCGGGGTAAAACGAAGCTGGAAATGCCTATTCGCTGATGTACTGTGTGCGAACATGCCGACGCCGTCCGCGCTGTTTACATGAAAATGTAAAGATGTGATGCGCTTTCCTCTCAATTTCCTTTCAATGAGACTTACAACTTAAATATGTTTCCACTCGTGTCTGATCGACGGACTGAACAGAAGAAATGAAGAGAAGATTTCCCTCGTCAAAGAAGGCGGAGCCTCAGAGCCACACCCACCTATTACATCATCACCACGAAAGAAAGTTTGCTTCGAACTCCAGAAACAAACTTCGATTGGCCTGATTTAGTTCAAAATGACATCACCCCAGTTTGATCTTCGATTTCGCTTGAAGTATATCAGGGCCTTTAAAGGTGAAATATGAGCAGTGCGTGAAATATGGTGTGCTTTTAATTCCTGGTTTGGTGAGATTCAATCATTGAGGTAATTGATGAATAGTTTTTGACCATGATAAACAGTTCTTTTGTTCTCTTTTGTTTGGATTCAGGCTTCTGTCAGACGGGCCGCAGTCGGGGTTTTTCAGCACATTTGGAGAAAGGGAAAGAGGGAGAGAAAAACTGGAAGCCAGAAAAGCTCAGTGGAAGAGAGAGCTGGGTAATGCTGTGCAATCAGACACTATAAGTAACAAGAGTTCAAATATGAATGAGGGTGGCATATGTAATCATCTAGTCTAGGAATATGATGGACAAATTCATTTAATTAAATTGACCTTAATGTAATGAACGCAATCTCATGAGAAAACAACTATCTTACTAACTGGTGATTTTGTATGAATTTATACAATGTGATTTTAAGGCCTTTCTGAATGCAAAAACACTTTCCTTCCATGAAATGTGAAAAACCCCTAGTCTTGTTTTCTGGCAGCTATCGTGAGCGCCCGTTAATCTTCTTTAAGAGCAAAAGAGCAACTGTGTCTAAAGTGCTGGAAAACAGAGAACTGCTTTATAGATGAAATGAACTAATTCAATAATTGATGATCTTCACAACAGAACTGACTTCAGCTGAACAACAGTTATCTCTGTAAAGCTGCTTTGAAACAATCTGTGTTGTATAAAGCACTATATAAATAAAGGTGACTTGACTTGATATGTACAGAAATAAGGTATTTAGAGAAAAAAAACGCAAGCATGAAACCATCAGTAAGCAGATCATGCAAATGAGGTTGTACAAATTCATACAAAACGTAAAACAGTTCTGAATTGCGACGAGAGTGTGTTGATTAGCGGTGGTGAATGTGTGGCTGATCAGTGTGTTGCTTTGCAGATGAGCAGATGGCGCTGAAAAGGCAGCAGAAAGCCAGTCTCAAAGATAAGGCTCATGATGGATCATCTAACGTGAGACTGAAACACCCGCCTGACACAGTGAGTAATAGTGTATACGCTCTCTGCATCTCATAAAACATGTTGCCATCGTTTGCCATTTCTGTGTCTTGGTGGTCAAGCTTTACACTAATGTGAATATGCAATCTGCTTTCATAACTCTGTTCAGTCCGTCACAGTTCATGCTGACAGTGCGACCACATGTACTGTCAACATGTACTGCGTACCCCGAAGTGATAAAATAAAACAAAATTCTGTATCAAAATTTATAGGCAAGAAAAGTAGTTTGTTTAGGCTGGGTTGTATGAATTACAAACCTGCGCACATATTTTAAAAAGCACATAACTATAGAATTCTGAATGAGCATGTGAACGCCGTCAGCGTTAATCACAGGTTCGCGTTTAAAGTCTGATCATTTCGACGGAGGTGAATCAATCAAAGTTAACTTTAGCTGGAAGTAACATTATTCAAGAACCGCTATAACGCCAAAACAATCTGTTACCTTAAATTATATGTTTATCTCTGTAAAGCTGCTTTGAAACAATTCATTGTTAAAAGCGCTATATAAATGAAGATGACTTGACTTGACTTGTCAAACCATACAGATTCTGCTATGCCTTCAGGGCTGTAGAAATGAAATTAAGATTTTCAGTTAAATATTAGGGTAAAAAAAAACTGAGACGCATTATACTGTAGTGACTACAGCAGTTACTAGGCTATAGTATGAACAATGAACTGTAGAGAGCTGTTATCTTCATTAGATTAGAGAGCCCCAAAACTGCCCTGGAAATAGATGAACAATCTCCCCTTAAAACAGTGTAATAATGATCCAGTCTGTTTCTGATGTGCGTCTCTCTTCAGGCTCTTCACAGCTGAGGGGAGGCTTTGCTAAAATCTCAGATTGGCTAAAAGCTCTCACACACTTGTGAAGGGATGCTAAAGAAACATCAACATGACTAACGAAGGCATATTCATGAATGTGCGATCACATTAGCGAAATTTCACTGGCAAAAAATGTGCATTGTCATGGTTATACCATGGTCTGGGTGAATACTCGATTCTGATTGGCTGCAGGGTGTCCATTAAAAAGTGCTAGAGGACACCTAGTAAAGGAGTTCTGGTGAAACTGACTGTTTACCGTTCGAAATTAATAAACAAATGTGCTGGCTACATCAGCTGTGAGTAACCATAGCAACAGGCAGTCAAAGTATCCATTAACAATTTATTGTATCAAAACAAACATCTAGTTAGCCATTATACTACGCCTACCTGTGTGTTTTAATTATAGGTTAAAAAACGAAAGTGTAACGTCCATGGCTAGACAAGCCTAACTTACATGAAAAAAAAAAGTTAACTTTCTGGCTCGTAAGTTAGCTAAACTGAAGGTTTCTCCGAGGTGAGCGGACTACAAATATCTCCGGTTGCTAAATAAACCGTCAGGCGTAACCAGGGAAACCAAGTTATTGTTTGTAAAAACTTTATATTTCGATTGTAAAACTAATTAAAATATAAACTAATGTTTTAAAAATGTGTTATTTGGCAAGTGACCATGGTATAAGCGCCCTTCGAGGTGTCCATTGTCAGGTATTAATGGACTTCGACTTCGCCTCGCCGTCGTCCATTAATACCTGACAATGGACACCTCGAAGGGCATTGACCCTTACTCAATGTATGAAGCACAACTCGCACCAAAAGTCACATCTTCTGTTGGTCAATGCGGTAAACTCGTGTGAACAACTTAAACCTGTGCTGGGAAATCTCTCGCCTCCATGTGAAAATCCAGATTTCGTGGAATCCTATTAAAAGTTCTGGATTTCGCCTGTGAAAATTGGTTGAACAATTCGTAAATGTGACCGCACCTTAATAAACAATAAAGAATCATGCCATGACAGTGCAACATGACAATTCTGATAAATTATCATTAAAAACGTTTTGGGGTTGAAATGAATCTACCTGTGTGCATCTGGGGCTCTGTTTACACCTGGCATTAAGATGCGTTTTGGTTGGATCAGATGTGAAGTGGACGACCCTAAATACAGGTGTTGAACGGGGTCTAAAATGTTTCGAGCTTGTCCACTTTCGACCACTTCCAGAGGTAGTCAAAAACAAACCGGATTGTTTTCGTAGTGTAAACGCTCATGTGGTCGAATGTGTTCAAAACACCGTCTACTCTCCGCCTACTGACCTGATGCGTGAACATATGGGAAGCGCTAGACAGATGGGATTTAAACTTTGTCGACTGGAGACACAAGTTTGGTTTGAAGATGAAAAACATACCAAGCACAATGTTCTCTCACCATTCCTGATCTCTAACACACACTCTCAGCGTTCGGCTGGTCTTCGGCTGCCAGAGCAGAAACTAAAGCTGATGCTCTCCGCGTGTTTTTCGTCGTCTCTGTGTGTGTTATGTAAACTGCGTGAGCTTATTTCATCCATTAGATCAAAAGTTCTGTAAAAGCCCATACATTTCCCCGCCCATAGACCCTCCCCTCGAAGAAATCAGGACAGAAGTGTTTGAAAGTGGACAAAAGAGCCGGATTAAAAGAGCCGGTGTAAACGGGGCCTGTTTGTCTGTGTAACTGAGCGGTGTATGTCTCCATGTGCCGGTGCAGGAGGGGATGAGCACACGGCCTGCTGAGAGGACTCAGTCCCAGCGAGAGCTCCCTGCAGCCATCCGCTCGGCCTTCAGAGTCGGGGTGTGTTTCAGCTGTTACTTACTCAAACACGTGTCCACCGTAGTGACTCCACGATAGATTGATTGCTGAATGGTGTTTGATGTGTGTACAGGAAGCAGGACCTGTGGAGGACATGTTCAACGCTCAGAGAGAGGAACAGCAGAGACGATGGTTACAGGAACTGGACCAGCAGAGAAAAGAGGACAAACTACGCCGACAACAAGACAAAGAAATGAACAGCCAGGTGAACTCAGTCGAGATAGGTCAAGGGTATTTGCATAGCTCTTTAACCAATACAAATGGCTTCAAAGCTGTTTTACAATAAAATGTAAGTATCTCGAAATTCAGTTTCGGGAATCAATCATTTTTATTTTAAGCTAAGGCCGTGTATGAGTTATAAAAGACTGTTGCTTGTTTGAACATGATCCCCGCTGTAAGTCACACTGTAGGATCTCAGCTGTCATTAATGTTAAACTATACGGCAGTCAAGATGTGTTAAAATCAGACACGCAAGATTCGTCTAGAGTTTTACATCATCTCTCCATGGCGGTGAGCCACATTTACGTGTGGTATTGAAAGGGTGGCTAGCAAACAAAAGCCATCTGTAGCGTTGATTTTGATCGACCCCCCGATGTGTGTGTACGACTTGACGATTCTTCACAGTATAATTCTCTGTTACTAGGTACAAAACTAGGGTTCCTTGATACTCCAGCTTGTTGTTAGGGTCATGAGAATGGATTGGGGCTCAGGTCAGGACAGACTGGCTAAACCGAGCGTCTGCCAGCTGTCTCACTTCACTGAGGTCAGATAAATCCCATCACATAGAGACTCTTTCACCTAGACATCATCATATAGAGACTGTCTGTTCCCCGAATTAGGAAATAAAAACTTTTATTGATTTTTATTTATTTAAATTTTTATTGATGTTCAACAAATTAAAAATAGATATATACAGATGAACATATGATAAAGCTCGGGTTGCTGAATATTCAATCCCTTTCTTCAGAAGCACTTGTTAATGATATGATTTCAGACTATAACCTAGATTTGCTGTGTATGACAGAAACCTGGCTAAAACCAGACGATTACATTACTTCAAATGAGTCCACCCCACAAGATTACTGTTATAAACATGAACCTCGTCTGAAAGGCAAAGGGGGAGGTGTTGCTGTAATTTATAGCAATATCTCCAGTATTACTCAGGTCTAGATTCAAATATAATTCTTTTGAAGTGTTGGTGCTTAATGTAACACTATAGTGTAAATGATAAATCATGTTTGAGATTTGTGCTGGTTACTGTATACAGGCCACCAGGGCACCATACAGACTTTATCAAAGAATTTGCTGATTTTCTATCAGAGTTAGTACTGGCTGCAGATAAAGTCCTAATTGTTGGTGATTTTAATATACATGTAGATAATGAAAAAGATGCTTTGGGATTGGCATTTAAATACATTGTAAACTCTTGGAGTTAGACAACACGTGTCAGGACCTACTCATTGTCGTAATCATACTCTAGATCTAATACTATCACATAGAATAGATGTTGATACCGTTGAAATTCTGCAGCAGAGCGATGACATCTCAGATCATTATCTAGTCTCATGTAAATTACATTTAGCCAAGATTACAAAGCCGACTCCGTGTTATAAATACGTTAGACCTATCACTTCTGCCACTAAAGATTGCTTTATTAATAATCTTCCTGATCAGTTTCATCATCTCACTATCCCAGATAGCTTAGAAGAACTCGATATTGCGACAGAAACTTTTAACTCTCTTTTTTCCAGCACTTTAGACGCAGTTGCTCCGTTGCGATTAAAGAAAATAGTCCAACGCCGTGGTACAACGAGCACACCCGGGCCTTTAAGAGAGCAGCCTGAAAAATTGAGTTTTTTCGCATTTCATGGAAGGAGAGCTCGATTGCATAAAGCGAGGCTTTGTAAAAATACAGCAGCCGCACACTCAAAACACTGTGCAAAATCAATTTAATAGCAAGCTTTCGGTCTTGCGACCTTCTTCTGCCTGAAGTAGGTCGCAAGACCGAAAGCTTGCTATTAAATTGATTTTGCACAGTGTTTTGAGTGTGCGGCTGCTGTATTTTTACAATTCCTGATGATTTAATGTAGCAGCACCTCTCTACAAGACATTTTTGACGGATGAGCGGTGGTTCTTTTCTATTTTTTTCTATAAAGCGAGGCTTTAAAAGCTGCTAGATCTGCTTATTTTTCGACTCTCTTAGAAGAAAATAAACAAAACCCTAGGTATTTATTTGAAACCGTGGCTTAACTAACGAAAAAGAGAGCTTCAACCCCAGAAGTTTCCAAGCAGCACAGCAGTAATGACTTTATGAACTTCTTTACTAACAAGATTGATAATAGGAAATTACAGTAACAGAGATTGTTTAGGCTTCACAGCAGCTCTAGAATAAAGTTATTGTCCAGCTAAAGTTAGTTTTAATCGATTCACTTTCGTCGCAAAGATCATTAGTTATTAACTTAGATAATCGCTAACACGACACCGCTCTAACAGAAAACCCTTAACACGTTCTCGAGCCCCAGGCACTGCTGTTGTGCGGATGAGCGGCCGGAGCGTGTTAAGGGTTTTCTGTTAGAGCGGTGTCGTGTTAGCGATTATCTAAGTTAATAACTAATGATCTTTGCGACGAAAGTGAATCGATTAAAACTAACTTTAGCTCGACAATGACTTTATTCTAGAGCTGCTGTAAAGCCTAAACAATCTCTGTATATAAATGAAGGTTACTTTATATATATATATATATATAGACATAAGTAGACAGCTGTCTAGTTCCGATTCCCCTTTTGGTATGTTCAAGACACACTAACTTTGGCCTAAATGTCGGGGACTTAAAGGAGAACTCCTCCGGCGCAAAATGAACCTTTGGTCTAATAAAACATGGGTACCTTAGTCAACCGTTCTCTGAGATTTATTTTCATGATAATCGAATGTAAAGAGTTTTATCTCTAAAAACTGTTTAGCGTATAACGCTAGTAATGGGGGCATCTAATAAGTAAAAAGAATCGCTAGGTAAAACACTAACAAGGTTCAAAATAGCCCCACACTAACACAGTAACATAATGAGGGTCCCTACATGCAAAACGAAGCATTGAGAACTTTGTAAGTTTACAGACCGTTTAATAAGAAGATAAAGATAAAGACAGTCCACTTCGTGTATACAGACAGGAGCCATCTTTGGAAAACAGTCTCGACTAATCAAACCACGAACGATGTGCTAAGTGAGCTGAACTGTATGAATGGCGTTCATGGTTTGACTAGTCCAGACTGTTTTCCAAAGATGGCTCCTGTCTGTATACATGAAGTGGACTGTCTTTATCTTTATCTTCTTATTAAACGGTCTGTATACTTAGAGTTCTCCTTTAACATAAATGTTATTCCTGCAAGAAAAAGAAACGTTAGTTATGTTTAATTCACAGGAGCAAGTGGTGGTTTGTTGTTGTCTGACTAATGAGGTTCTGCTCTCCTATTGGTTTTTGATTTGGCGTTTGGCATAAGAGAAGCCACACTGCGTCAAATCTTCTGACAGCCAGAAGCACATCTGAGGTGAAATGTGATCACAACGGTCATTAATCGGCTGTCGGGAAACATGTCAGACAAATCATGGCAAAAATCGCACCGTGTGAACCCGGCGTTAAGACACGACTGGCAAAAGCACTGTTTGCTTTTCATGTACTGATCAACTTTTTACTTTTTCACAGCACAGTGTGTTACATGAATATATAACAACTGAGACAGACTCATATGTCGGAGGATGCGATAGTCTAGCGTTGATGTGAAGAATGTTTTCGTTGATGGTGTTCTGTGACTGTGTGTCCACAGGCCGAGGACATGGAGCGGTGGGCGGTCCACTTCGACTCTCTGCTTCAGCCCTCCGCCGTGCCTGACCCGAGCAGCGGCCTGTCTCCGCATCGCCCCGTCTCAGGAGCCCGGGCCACTGCACGCGACGGTGTGAGTGTGTGTGGGGGGAGGGCCAGCGTCGACACCACTCAGGGAGTCCAACAGAGATCCAGGTCTGACACTGATCATTATTACACCAGCAGAGAACACAACACACAACTATACTGAGCACACATTCTTATTGGTTCAGTTTTTCACTGCATAATGAGACTGTTCATGTAGTTTTACTTTGACACACCACATGAATGCAACATCCGTATCTTATTTACATATGGCCCTTCACGTACGAAAACTCTCTCATGTTTAGTCAAAGCCCAAAACAATTATGCTCGTTGTATTCTACTCCATGAGCCCTTTCAAAAGACACATGACTATCTGAGCTGTATGATGTTGTTGACATATTACAGTACATGTAATATGGCCAGCAGCCATATCACCCTGTAGCCCAAGACTGGTTGCCCACTGAAGCTAAGCAGGGCTGAGCCGGGTTAGTGCCTGGATGGGAGACCTTCTGGGAAAACCAGGTTGCTGCTGGAAGAGGTGTTAGTGAGGCCAGCAGGGGGCGCTCACCCTGTGGTCTGTGTGGGTCCTAACGCCCCAGTGTAGTGACGGGGACACTATACTGTCAAAGAGCACCGTCCTTCGGATGAGACGTTAAACCGAGGTCCTGACTCTCTGTGGTCATTAAAAATCCCAGGATGTCCTTCGAAAAAGAGTAGGGGTGTAACCCCGGTGTCCTGGCCAAATTTGCCCCTTGGCCTCTGTCCATCATGGCCTCCTAATCATCCCCATATACTGATTGGCTTCATCACTCTGTGGAGTGTACCGCCAGTGAACCACTTCTGGTTTAAGGGATTAAAATGTTGTTAAATGTACAGTTTTAGGAAGTGAAAAAGAACAAGTCATCTTATAATTTACAGTGAAAATGGAAATTCCCAGAATCCTCTGACATTCCGACATTCCCAGAATCCTCAGCTCACGTTTGATGGTTTTTCAGTGAAATAACTAGGTTTATTTTCCCCTTATCAGTTATGCACACTATTTTTTGTTTTAATGAATGTTTATAGTGTTGTGTGTTACCATGATGCTGTTTTGTACTTGGTGTTCTGGCTTTTTACCTGAAATCTCTCAGATTCTTGAGTTTACAATGTGTGAGGCTGTGTGGGAATCTCATTGGTCACTGCCTGCCTTAACAGAATGCAAGTTGATTAGTGATAATGATGATGATGATGCTCCAAAATGATTTATTCTTTGTTGGAATAACTAAACAAATTCTAAATATTCTGGCTTTTTCGAGAGTTTTATGAAAATCAGAATGCCCTTGTAATTTGTTGTTCAGTCATCTTCGCACCATGACGGCGTTGCTGGACCCGGCTCAGATCGAGGAGCGGGATCGCCGGAGACTCAAGCAGCTGGAGCACCAGGTAGGGTTCACCCCTTGACCAAACTGACAGGAAGTCACTGCATGGACCTTTATATTTATAATATGTGCACATTTCTGATGTGTAGCGAGCAATTGAGGCTCAAGTAGAGGAGCGCAGACGTCAGAAAGAGAAGGAGGACGCCACACGCCGAGCACAGGAACAGGAAGAGGAGAGGAGGGTTGAGCGAGATCGAGAGCGACTCCAGCAGCAGTACATCACTGACACCGAGCGACAGAAACACAAAGAGGTAACACTGTCACACACACGTATTGCACATATTAAAATCAAGCAACGAGGTGGTCAGGAAATCTGAAACATGCCTCTTTTTGCTTATAACTTCTGAATGGTTTGGTAAAACTGGTCTCTTTAGATTTGTCAAGCAATACCCAATATTCCCATATCGGCCATTTTGAATTACGCATGGGCGTATCGTTACAAAATTTGGTGACTGTCATCGGCACCATGCCTATAGGTACTCAGAAAGTTTTGAGACGGCGCCACCTTCTGGTCAAAAATTCTAATGAAATTTAAAAAATGTAAATAGCTTTTGCCTATTGAAACTGGTCTTAATAGATTCCTCGGGTCATGCTGAGTACATGGATACCAATACTGCGGTTGAACTTCCTGTCCGCCATTTTGATTTTCTTTAAAAACCTACTTTTTCAAACTCCTCCTAGATCCAGCCTATGGCGTGCAAATCTTCGGGATTTAGTGTCGATAGACGAAACTGTTTTTTTGTATACCACAACAACGCATGTGTGCCGAACTGCATCTGAGGCTGAATCTCTGGAAAGATTTGACATATTGACACCACATTTTGTCATTGTCACCCAACACTGACCACACCTCATCAGTTTGGTGTCAGCGGCACCTATGTGTCGAAAGTAATAAGCAGGTCTTTCAAAATGAACACGTTAATGCAAGCGATTCTTTTTTACAGTTTAATGCGTTAAAAACATTCAACACAATTAACGCAGCATTCGTTTTTTTCCTGTCATCCTTTGGTTAGCGTTAGATTATATGTCCACGCTCTTATTCATGCAAATTCTTTTAAACCATTCAAGCGCAATAAGACACAAAAGAGCGCATCTGTAAATCTCCGGTCTGTGTGACGCGCACACACATACACACACACAGACAAAAACAACAAAAAATGAATGCCAAAATGCGCATTTCGTCGAGTGTCCTCGCAAGGAATGAGTAAATGAAGTCTTGAACATATTAGAGTTGTGAGAAGGTGTGTGTCAGATCCGCGTCATGTGCGGCAGCTCTTAAAGTGATAGCAGCCTAATAAACCTGCTGCTGTCTGTGATTAATGGTAATCAAACAACAAAAGAAAAAAAGGAAATCACTCACTGCTCTTGACTGAATAACCTTTGTAGCTTTAATAAGGATTAATCTATATTTCATTTATAATTTATGCAGTGAAGACTGTGAAGTTTTTGAAAACTTTATTCAATTTCTGTATATATCCAACCTGTTAGACCTAAGGTTACATGGGTCAAAAATAACGAAAACAATAACTTTTGTGCATTTTGATAGGGCAAGTAAAAATCTGAACCGGTCTGACTGGGCAAATAGAAAAAAAATATATACCTGTTAAATTTGATAGCTTTCATTATACTGTAATAATGAATGCCTATAATTGATGGCTAACATTGAGAAAAAAGTCAATTTCATAGAGACATCAGTAGCAGTGTTGATATTGTGATACTGGCCGCCTTCTATAAAAAAAGATGCCATTAAACAAGTATTTAAATTATAGGCAACTGTCTTTGTTGTTTCATGGAGATTAAATGTGAAAGTATTACAATATAAAAATGTTAAAAACTTTAATGTTAAGTGTTGCTTACAGCTATATTTATTATTATAATATTTTAAAGGTCATGTAGCACATATGAAATGTCCCTACTATCACTAAAATTAGTTTTCTGAGAAAACTAGCCAATCAGAAACCCTCTGACATGTTGGTGGTTTTGGAGAGTGGCTGTGAGTAACTCCGATAACACACGTGTGTTAAACAGCCTCTGCACGAGCACATTCAGCGGTTACTCACCAGCACACCTGGTCATGGGTACTTTAATGTGCATCTAAGAAACGCAAAGCACCCACTGTACAGAATTTGTGATTGTGAAATACATTTTTATCTATTGAATGTATCTTGCCCAATGCTCTCCTTCAAACAATACAAAATCAAGTCTATATATCATATATGTCATATATCGTGTGAGAAAAATGGTTTCAAACATCAAATGAAACTGTTCATGGCCTTCTTTTGTTCTGCTGCAACTTGCACTGTGGCTCTTCCACTCAGTTGAAATATGTTTTCAGTGTGTTTGGATTTACTACTGTAAAGTGATGTCACTGACAGGTTTCCAGGACCCTTCTCACACCATGTTGAACCACACTTACTTTGGCATTTTTAGTTGTAAAATAATTACTCCGTATGTTTCAAAAGAGTAAGAAAAATGGTAGGATCCATTTCAGATTGCCTTTTGAATATGACAGTAGTGTATGTATTCCAGGAGGTGCAGTCCCGTAAGACGGAGGAGCTGTATCTGAGCATCCAGAGAGCCCAAGAAGAGGCCGTTAAAGACAGACACGTGCAGAGAGTCCGAGACTTGGCCCAGAAAGGCCACGACGTGTCCAAACTCCTGCACAGCCTGGAGGGAGACTCCGCCGCACAGGGTACGGGACGAACCACACGTTTGCTCTGTATCAAACATTCTGTATGCATGATTATAAAGTAGTGTTTCAGCCCTCAGCGGTCCAGCTTTACCTGCCGCATCATCCAAGAGTCAGACCCAGAGCACAACACCTCCGAGGAAACACACCGCTGTCCAGACAGGTCTGTTCCTCTTTCAGTGCGATAGTTCACCCTTTCCTCATCCTGTGGATCTGTGTCTACAAACTGTCTTTTTCTGAAAAACTGCAATCAACGACAATGTCTGGACAATGTCAAAAAGGACAAAAAATGATGAAAGTATCATAAAAGTACATTTAAAGTATTCCATATGATACGATATACGATGCACTAAATTCAAAACCTTCAGTGAGAAATAGACTAGTATTTAGATTATTCATGGAAATTTGATCTGACGTGACGGCAGCTGTTCATCCACCTATTTACTGTATGTGAATCTCGGGATATGCTGGATAGAAACGTCCAGATGAGCATCAATTCTGAAAATGTGCATAAAAAACACGTGCGCTCAATTGAGGCAGATACTTTTTTTAATTCATGCTCATAAACTACGATGGAAACACATTTACTGAATAAATCTCTCGAAGCGCAACAATAAACTCAGCGGAGGCTGTGATTGGATAACTGGAGTAACCAGCGGACCAATGGCATCGCAGCTTCTCAGATGCTGGTTTGGTGTTTCTGAAACGCCGGAGCCGGAGTGTGTGATCAGAATGACTGGGTTTAATTCCCTCCAGAAGCGTCTCACACACACTAGTGTGTTCACACACACCAGCATCCCAACGCAAGAGATCATGACAGTGTTTACTGAGTTTCGTCTGACGCTCTGAGAAACACTCGTTCATGATGGAGGGAAAGGAGACGATTTCAGAAACGTAGTTTTCTTACTGATATTTTGTTCCAATTTCCCAGGAAGTGACGATTTTGTTCTCTTGAACACATGGGATGCTTTATTCGCTAATGTTTTGTGCCATATTTAAATTTTGCGCACAAGTTAAATTCACAAGATGGAAACATGGCTACTGACGGCACTGCATTGAGCCGTGAGCCTGATGTAAAGCACATCTCACAGCTTTGGTGGAGGAGAACATTTGACAATTCAAAAATGAAATGCTCTCTCTCTCTCTCTCTCTCTCTCTCTCTCTCTCTCTCACATACACACTTTTATGGTGTTTTTAATGGTGGTGTTTAGCTCACAGATGTGGCGATATGAACTGTTGTATGGAAACAATGTATCAGCACAGGCTTAATATCAGTGTATGATTTTGCAGAGATCAGCCATCAGCCTGAGAACGATTGTGTTGGAGATCCAGATAAACGCTCTGCTGCTGCAGTGACACACACAGCTCTCGATGTGAAGAGATCCCATCACAGCGAGGTGAAGCATCCTCTGCGCACCGCACACAGAGCAGCCGGAGCCGACCCGTACGAGGCGTACGCACGCAGACCACAGAAGAGGCCCGAGTGGAACACACTGCGGCCCAGTAAAGCCTTCGTGCCGGCGTCAGAGAGGTATCCAGAGGCCCTGAAGAGACACCGGCAGGAGAGCAGGAGACTGAGGCAGATCCAGCTCATGACACTGATGGAGAGAAACACACACTCACACACACCTCAGCCGGAGCCGCTGCCGCCCGCACACACACCGCAGAACCACAGACCGCAGCCACAGGTGCCAGTTCACTGACCTTGCTGTGCACTGAGCAATACTGGGAACCCAACTTTTAAAACAAATAGAGATCAGTTACTTGACATATAATAAAAGAATAACTCCCTTTAAAATGAAAATTCTGTCATCATTTACTCTCCCTCAAGTTGTTCCAAACCTGTATGAGTTTCTCTCTTCTGCTGAACACAAGAGAAGATATTTTGAAGAATGTTGGTAACCATACAGATGACAGATGTTGGACCCCATTGACTTCCACAGTAGAAAAACAAATACTCTATAACTCGAAGAAGATATTCTGAAGAATGAAACCGAACTCCACTGTGTTCAGGAGAACAGAGAAACTCACACAGGTTTGGAACAACTTGAGGGCGAGTAAATGATGACTAATGATTTTCATTTTGAAGTGAACGACTCCTTTAAGTTCCTCACAGTTCCCGTCCCTATAAATGTGTGTAGTGTAAGCGTGTACATGTCAGAGTGATGTCGCTTCTTCTCCTTCTTCAGAGTGAAAATCCCCTCCAGGACCCATCAGTCTTCAGTGCTGAACGGTGAGTGTGTTACAGCTGTTTGAGCTGGCTTATTCACTTTTACATTACAAAAGAATATTTCTTTTTACTTCTAAAAAAAATCGAGCCTGAATGCACTGTATGTAATGTAAATAATATTGTAATGATACATTACTATTCAAAAGTTTGAAAAAAAAAAACACTTTGTTTTTTGAAAGAAATCAATACCTTTATTTATCTAGGATGCAAAAATGTAACTAAAACACTGTTTTAACATTTATAATGTTACAAATGGCTGTTTTTATTTAAAATAAACTGCACATGAAGGATTCTTTGACGAACAATTACAAAAATACAGCATTTAAATCAAGTCACCTTCATTTATTCGGCGCTTTTAACAATATGGACTGTTCCAACGCAGCTTTACAGTGATAATAGGAAATTACAGTAACAGAGATTGTTTAGGCTTCACAGCAGCTCTAGAATAAAGTTATTGTCCAGCTAAAGTTAGTTTTGACTGATTCACTTCCGTCACAAAGATCATTAGTTATTAACTTAGATAATCGCTAACACGACACCGCTCTAACAGAAAACCCTTAACACGCTCCGGCCGCTCATCCGCACAACAGCAGTGCCTGGGGCTCGAGAACACAAACCATGAAATAGGTTCCGAGGTGCAAGCCTTGAAGAAAAAAAAATATAATAATAATTTATATATATATATATATATATATATATATATATATATACACTCACCTAAAGGATTATTAGGAACACCTGTTCAATTTCTCATTGATGCAATTATCTAATCAACCAATCACATGGCAGTTGCTTCAATGCATTTAGGGGTGTGGTCCTGGTCAAGACAATCTCCTGAACTCCAAACTGAATGTCAGAATGGGAAAGAAAGGTGATTTAAGCAATTTTGAGCGTGGCATGGTTGTTGGTGCCAGACGGGCCGGTCTGAGTATTTCACAATCTGCTCAGTTACTGGGATTTTCACGCACAACCATTTCTAGGGTTTACAAAGAATGGTGTGAAAAGGGAAAAACATCCAGTATGCGGCAGTCCTGTGGGCGAAAATGCCTTGTTGATGCTAGAGGTCAGAGGAGAATGGGCCGACTGATTCAAGCTGATAGAAGAGCAACTTTGACTGAAATAACCACTCGTTACAACCGAGTTATGCAGCAAAGCATTTGTGAAGCCACAACACGCACAACCTTGAGGCGGATGGGCTACAACAGCAGAAGACCCCTCCAGGTACCACTCATCTCCACTACAAATAGGGAAAAGAGGCTACACAAATGCAAGAGCTCACCAAAATTGGACAGTTGAAGACTGGAAAAATGTTGCCTGGTCTGATGAGTCTCGATTTCTGTTGAGACATTCAGATGGTAGAGTCAGAATTTGGCGTAAACAGAATGAGAACATGGATCCATCATGCCTTGTTACCACTGTGCAGGCTGGTGGTGGTGGTGTAATGGTGTGGGGGATGTTTTCTTGGCACACTTTAGGCCCCTTAGTGCCAATTGGGCATCGTTTAAATGCCACGGCCTACCTGAGCATTGTTTCTGACCATGTCCATCCCTTTATGGCCACCATGTACCCATCCTCTGATGGCTACTTCCAGCAGGATAATGCACCATGTCACAAAGCTCCAATCATTTCAAATTTGTTTCTTGAACATGACAATGAGTTCACTGTACTAAAATGGCCCCCACAGTCACCAGATCTCAACCCAATAGAGCATCTTTGGGATGTGGTGGAACGGGAGCTTCGTGCCCTGGATGTGCATCCCACAAATCTCCATCAACTGCAAGATGCTATCCTATCAATATGGCCCAACATTTCTAACGAATGCTTTCAGCACCTTGTTGAATCAATGCCACGTAGAATTAAGGCAGTTCTGAAGGCGAAAGGGGGTCAAACACAGTATTAGTATGGTGTTCCTAATAATCCTTTAGGTGAGTGTGTATATATATATATATATATATATATATATATAATTATTTTTATTTATTTTTTATTTTTTATCTCTGCTAAAGCTTTAAAAACGCAAACCTGTGAAAACGCTGACGGCGTGCACATGCGTATGACGTGTTTAGTCTATAGGTATGCGCGTTTGACTATATATGTGCGCAGGCGTGTAGTCTTTCTTTACAAACTGACCTCAACAAATGACTTGTCAGGCCTTAAAAATTTATAATACAGAATTATTGACCACTATTTCAAGGACAGTTAGGAAGAAAACGAATAAAAAGCTTTTATGTAACTCAAATATTAGATTTTTTTCAACAAATATGCCTATTTTTTTTTTTTTTTTTTTACAATTATTCCATAATTTAATGAGGGCCCAGTTCTGGGCCCCCCTCCCTACCCTGGGCCCGGGACAACAGACCCGTTTGTCCCCCCCTGTCGGCCTGATTCTAGGTCTTATCAACTGGCCGGAGTTTTGAGATCGCAATAGACGTGAAGGACTATAATGCGTTAAGAGCTCGCTCAAGTACTGCGGAGCTAAACCATTTATTGCTTTGTAAGTAATCAACAATATTTTAAAATGTATACGATGTTTAATAGGCAGCCAATGCAGTGTTGACAGAACCGGGCTAATATGGTCATACTTCCTGGTTCTGGTAAGAACTCGAGCTGCAGCGTTTTGGACCAGCTGTAGTTTGTTTATTAAGCGTGCAGGGCAACCACCCAGTAGAGCATTACAATAATCTAGCCTTGAGGTCATGAACGCATGAACTAACTATTCCGCATTTGTCATTGAGAGCATATGGCGTAATTTAGATATATTTTCAAGATGGAAGAATGCAGTTTTACAGAGACTAGACACGTGACTTTCAAATGAAAGATTGCTATCAAAGAGCACACCCAGGTTCCTAACCGACGACGAAGACTTGACAGAGCAGCCATCAAGTGTTAGACAGTATTCTAGGTCCTTCCAGATATCATTTCTTTCTAGAAAGGAACACAGTTGTGAAGATACTGCCTTTTCTAGTATCTTTGACAGAAAAGGCAGATTCGAGATCGGCCTGTAATTGACTAATTCTGTAGGATCAAGTTGTGGTTTTTTAACAAGCGGTTTTATCATAGCCAGCTTAAAGGTTTTCAGTACATATCCTAATGACAAAGATCCTCTTCTTAATATCATTAATTCATCTATGACCTCTGGAAGCATCTCTTTCAGTAGCTTAGTCAGTATAGGATCTAACACACAAGTTGTCGATTTAGATGAATTAACGAGTTTAGAAGATTCTTCCTCTCCTATAGCAACGAATGAATGGGACTACAATGCACTCCCTGATGCGATACTGTAGTAGACAGTTGCATAGTTATAATTTTCTCTCTAATATTATCAATCATGTAAGTAAAGAAGTTCACAAAGTCATTACTGCTGTGTTGCTTGGAAACGTCTGGGGTTGAGGCTTTATTTTTCGTTAACTTAAAACCCTAGGTATTTATTTGAAACAGTGGCTGTTTATTTTTTTTGTATATATATATTTTTAAGCCTCTCTGTATGCAATCGTGCTCTCTTTCCATGAAATGTGAAATACCTCTAGGTTTGTTTTAACATTCAACATTATTTGATTAGTACTTTTCATATGATGTTTTTTTCAAAACAGCTTTAAGAAAGTTATTTGTAATAAAGTCTCAAAATCCCCCAAGGTCCACATTTTAGGTCAATAAAAAAAAAATCCTCCATGTCTATTTATCCATCAATAATACTTCAGACTGGACAGAGACACTGTCCTGCTGTTTCCACATCTCCTTATGCTGCACAATTTACATTTTTAACATCTCAAGAAATATTTTTTGAGTACCAGATCAGCACATTAGAATGATTTCTTATGGATTATTGAACATGTCTAAAGGTTGCTGGAAAACTGGCTTTGAATTACCATTTAAAAGGAACTTCCTTTAAAGTGTGTTTTTACTGTGGTTGATGTATAGTCTCGTGATGATAATTTCTTCACGTTGTTGATGTGTTCTGTGTGCAGTGGGATGCCGTCTCCTCCCATCACCCCTGTGGTGAAGACTCGTGTTCATCAGGACACGGGCCGCCCCCTGTCCTCAGACTATGTGCCGTATGTGCGCTCACACGAGGTGTACCAGCTGGACCCGCTCTCCAGACCCGACACACACAGACCCGACACACACGAGGTGTACCAGCTGGACCCGCTCTCCAGACCCGACACACACGAGGTGTACCAGCTGGACCCGCTCTCCAGACCCGACACACATAGACCCGACACACACGAGGTGTACCAGCTGGACCCGCTCTCCAGACCCGACACACACGAGGTGTACCAGCTGGACCCGCTCTCCAGACACGACACACACGAAGCCCAGCACAGAGTCCACACAGGTCAGCAACACACTGGACAAACACATGCCATACTCAGCCTTACCCACAATTCTCTAGGACTCTTGTCTTTATGACAAAACTAATTCAGCGTGGATGATGAAATTGATGAGTTGGGAAGTTTTAGAGCAGATATATCAGCAGTGTTCACCCAGAAACTAGATTTAGTTGATTTGCTCACCTTTATGTTCCAAACCATGTGACTGACTTCTTCAGTGGAACACAGGAGGAGACTCTGTGAAGATCTTCAGTTCTCTACCATACAGCAGTTTTCACTTTCTAGCTACAAAGAGTCATAAAAGCATCATAAAGGAAATCACATGACCTGTGCACTGTAGTGTTCTGGAATATAATGGGTTTGTGAGTCATTATTCATGGAAAATCTTCCCAAATAATCATCGGTTCTGCATATTAATATAACTAGTTTCACGGTTTGTTCACAAGGTCTGTTTTGAGTCTCGATGGGAATGCACCATATTTCTGCCTTTTGGCAGAGGACAAGATTGTTAGTGAACAACGACATTATTCGTCCCACCAATTTTGTAACTTGTGAATATAGTTCACAAGTGAAGTTTCTGAAACGGTTATGGTGCTTTTTTTCTTTTCTAGAGCTTTTTGTGTGAGAGCGATTGTGACTGTTGTAGAGCAGTAGATGTGTTGTGTGTGATTGTGTTGTGTCTCCCCGCAGGTGTGTGTGTGTGATTGTGTTGTGTGTCTCCGCAGGGCTGGTCCCGCACGAGCCCGGCGCTCCTGAAAGCACTGAGCGACAGCAGGCTATCCTGAAGGGTCTGTCCCAGTTACGGCAGGTAATGCTCAAGATCACGCTTTCCTTCTACATCCTTCAGATGAGATGTTAAACCGAGGTCCTGACCCTCTGTGGTCATTCAAAACCCCAGGATGTCTTTCGAAAGAGTAGGGGTGTAACCCCGGCATCCTGGCCAAATCTGCCCAGTGGCCTCTGTCCATGATGGCCTCCTAATCATCCCCATATATATATATATATACACTGATTGGCTTCATCACCCTGTCTCCTCTCCACCAGTAAGCTGGTGTGTGGTGACCGTTCTGGCGCAATATGGCTGCCGTCGCATCATCAGGTGGATGCTGCACACTGGTGGTGGTTGAGGAGATTCCCCCTTCCATGTAAAGCGCTTTGAGTACCTAGAAAAGCGCTATATAAATGTAATGAATTAATTATTACATATTTGCAAGAGGTTTTTTTGTAATGATATCTTACATATTTTCAGAACTGTTTTAACTTCTCTAAACTGTAAGCTCAACAGCATGTCTGCAACCCAGTCTCTCTCCCATAACATTTCATTCATGCTTCAAAACCTGGTGATTGTGTCCGTAAAATAAACAGTGTGTAGATGCTTCTCCACCAGGGGCATATTTCTTATGTACAAATTTCATGTTTTTTCCTTTGTTGACAGGAACTGTTTTCTATAATGTACAAGACTGTGAGTTTTGTCTGTGTATCACACTGAGCATCTTAGATACACACAGTAGGTAATAAAAGCAAGTTGTGTACTACAGTAACAGTACATTTATTTTTGCAGAAATGTTACATGTCTTTCTCCAACACATACACTACGTATCTTCCTATTGCTCGTCCACGACAAGAATTTTCAGTTAATATACAACACACTTATTTTTGTAGAAATGTTGCATAAGTGCAGATGTGTTTGCAGAACGGCTGTGATCAGAGTTGTGTGTTCCTCCGTGCGCTGGTGATTGTGATTCCCATTTCATTACAACGGCTTGCCAGTTTAGGAAACATTACAGAATAGACTGTCCGACAGACTGTGCTCACTGAACGAGCCTTCTGAATGTGATGTTTAGAAGTTGTGAAGAGTTTGATCATCAAGCCGTGTGCATTAGTTACTGTGCAAATTGTACTTACTCTTGCACCAAAACACATGCAATTTGCTTAAATCAAGAAGAATTCAAATCTGATGGGATCAAGAGACCTATGTGATCAGAGATCTGAACTGAGCCACAGCGATGAGGAAACACAAGTCTGTGTAGTGTGTTGTATGGATTGCAGTGGTTCCTGCTGAAGTTCTCAAGCTCATGAATGAAATGTGTGTGTTGTATTCCAGGCGCTGCTGCAGAGACAGAGAGAGCTGGAACCCAGTTTATCCCCAGCACTGCAAACACAGCACACACACCACTTCTCACCATTCAGACCTGTGTGAGCCAAAGCATTGACAACAGGAAGTGCTGGTGTGGTTTCAATGAAACTGGTTTGTAAGAATGGAGTGGAGTGTCTGTTAGACACTCTGATCATAGATGTGTAACACATCAGTGTTGCATTGGATTCTGGGGGGATTTTATGGCTTGAATGCGATGTTTACAATTTTCTCTGAATGTGAATTACACTTATTTAAAACCTTTTCAATTAAACTTGAATTTGCTCAACTTGTGTCCATTACTGAACATACTTCTCCACCCTGGCTAAAACAAACCTCAGTATCTGAGTCCCATCAGCAATATGAACATTCATTTACAAAGATTGGTTGTAAAGTTGTTTAATGTTAATCGGCTTTATAAAAATAATACTAAAACCAAGGCCTTGAGCTTTTTCACAAAAGGGGAAAAAAACCAACATGTTCAGCCCGACCAACATGCAAAAGCAAAATACAAAATATGTTTTCTGAAAAATATGAAATGAATCACTTATTAATTCACTTTCAGTGGAAACCTGGAACTGTTTCATTTCTCTCAGATTGTACAAAAGACAAACTGAGATGTTCAGTTGTAAACGATGTTAAACTATCTACACACACTGGGTGTTCACCAGCCCCCGAAGCCTCCCCCGTCGGGACGGTGCGCGTCTCTCTGCCAGTTCTGGAGGAACGGGGCGCTCTGGATCCGCTGGACGTCGCTGCCGAAGCGGGCCGGCGATGAGGACCCGTGAGGCAAGCTGTGCCACGCCATCGGAACGCTATTATTGGGCAAGAACCCTCTCCAGGCGGGAGGTCCCACCGCTCCCAGGCCGTTGGAGACCGTGCAGTTCAGAAGAGGGTGTCCGAGCCCAACAGCACCGCTGTAAGACGCGAACCCCGGGCCGCTCAGACCCATGGCTCGATGTGTGGCGGACATGAAGCCAGAACCCTGCAGTCCTGGGTAAAAACTGCCCATGCCATATCTAGGCGTGGGAAGGAAACCGCACTGGTCAAAGGAGCCAGTGCTGATCCTCGGGGGGGTCCCCAAAACACTGCTCCCATTGGACGCTTGACCACCCTCGGCTTTCCTCCCAGTCATGCCGGACCGCGTGTCTATGACCGGGATCGGGCTGGTCTGCGCCCAAGGCTCTTGGTTATCGTTCTCGGGGATCGGTGCGGCTGGTCTGAGGACACACAACGATCCTCCTCGATGGTCCACATCGCCGCTGGCTTCAACACGAGATGGAGCCGCAGCGAGCGGTGTCGGGGCGGCGGGTTCAGTCCGGCTCGGGGGAGCCGCCGGCGGGCCGGGGGTGTCCGAGGAGAACTGAGGAGACTCGCACAGATCGCCGAGGCCGAGGAAGCTTTGGTGGGGATCCACTCGAAAAGACGTTTCCAAAGCGTCGCCGGCGTCACACTTCGCAAGCATCCTGGAAGCCTTGAACTGAGAGATTGCTTCGCTGAGAGCTTTAAAGTCCAACTCTTTCGGCGTGTCGCTGGTTTCGGTGTTCGCTGGGTGTTGATGAAGAGCGGGTTCAGAGACGGGGGGGAACGGATCCGTCGCGAGGGACGGCTGCTGGTCTGTAACAACATGGCTCAACTGAGCTGTGACCGACACACTGTTATCTGAAGAGTCCTGGTCCGAGTCCATGGACATGCTATCATCTCTCACTACAGGGACAAGAGAGAGGTTACAGGCCATCAACAGTCAGAACTTACACTCGTTGCAACATTTAAATGCATAGTAGGCAGTCAATTGGTTTTGAACCATAATTTTAATCAAATGTTTCAATTTGGTTCTACAAAATTCTGACCCTCTAAAAACAGATTATTACAGACACAACCCTGTATTCCTGATAACTGTTTGAGGAACAGATTATAGCACTGAATGAGGATTCTGGTACACATTGACAACTTCGGGTACCGGCTTGATTGATAGTTTGAATGATTTTAATGATCATTCTCCAAACACAATACATTGGTCTGTGCGAGTAGAGACATCCCTATCTTTACTGTCAGCTCCTCAATGTCTATTAGTGTGTTAATGAGAGGAAACTGCTGGCAGAAATCAGGCCAGCCCTGGACAAAACACTACCAACATATCTTATTTAAAATGTCTCCATAAATTTCATACAATTCAAGTGACTGAAAATGCCAAGAAAAACCCATATACTTTCTATTAAGACTCCGTTCAACAGCCAACAGGCTCTAAACACAGGTCAAGTATATGATGTCACCTGCTATAAAAGACTCAAGGGACTCTAAAATTGCAACGATCAAGTTGGTTGACACGACTTGGACACATGACAAAAAAAAAACCCCAATGGCTGCCAGCATGTTGGTGGACAAAATAAATAACAATCAGATTCAAAATTCTTGGCCAATATTTATAACGCGAAAACAACTTTACGAACCACAAAATGAATTGTAATTGGTTTAAAACATGTCCAGTATAGAGGAGGAGTTATTGTACTAAGCTTTAGCATCTGTCGTCTGCTTTAGTTCTGCTGATTTTGCAAATATGTATTTTATGGTAGATGAAAATAAATCAGAGAAAGTTTAAAGAAAAATGGAGATAAAGTTTTATCAAAATACATTTATTGGAAGAACTTTATATACACATTTGAGTTTTTTTGCTAACCAGATACAAAAGATATTATTAATGCCAGTTCACTGTATTTTAGGGTTATTTCTGTTTGGGGTTTTTGGTTGGAACAGTTACAAAGTTATGGTTACAAATACAAACACTTTTCTGTATTTACACACTAAAATAAAACACTTCTTTACTCGGTGTTTTAAAGACATGTAAAACTTTTACATCCGACTAATCAAATCTTCAGACAACGGTCTTCACACCGGCAAAGGGTTACACACAGGGTCTAAAACACACACTCCAGAGCCAAGAGTCTCAAACGGGCTTTGGACAAGTAAATAAAACACGTTAGAAACACCTGGCTTGTTTCGAGTGTTGGGAAACCTGGCGCATGTTCTTCCTTGGTTTGGTTCGTAAGGCGTATATAAACACCACTATCATGCTCGATCCACATCACAATAATCTGTTCCAGACCCTGTGAAGTGCAGTTTATCATTGTTACTGGACATTGACAGGTGAACTGTGTGTTTCATTGTTGCCCTGTGGAAGTGAACCAAACCAAAGAAAAAAATGCCACATGATAACAATTTAAGTCTCTGTTTCAGAACAAAGCAAAAGGTCTACTAAAGGAAACTTTAACATCAGTTTATCGCCACAAATGCATCTAGGATGCCGTTTCTTGGCTATGTATACTTCAAATCTAAAGGGGCTATATTTAAGAATGCTTATGTATTCATTGCTTTTTTGTTGCCAATGTGTGAACAGCTTGTAACGAAACTTAAAATGAGACCTGGCTTTTTCTGACACCTCTGTCTGTGAAAGCCTGTAGACTTGATTTTCCCGTCAAGTCTTTCACATAAACATCAAAGGATGTGGCGTAAACGTAAATGTGCCCTCCTGAGGGCAAAGAAGAATCCAAAGAAGAGGATTCATTTAAACTACAGTTTCACACAGCCAGGTCTATAGTGTAACAGTCATTTTAACCAACCCTTCGCAGGGAGTTTGATTGACAGGCAATCTGACCAATCATAATCCGCCACAAAGCAGTCAGGAGAGTTAGTAGATTAACGTTGGTGGAAAACCGTGTCCTCTCTGCTCTGCGATGTATCTTGTACTGTGTGAGAACATGATGTGTGGCGTGAGAGCGGCTTCTTAAGTGAAGAACGATAAATCACTTCGCCGCGAGTATAATCGAGGCCTTGAATCACACTCAGTCTCTTGTGCGTTATGCGCGTGTGTGAGCGCTGTTCACTCAATGGCCAGCGGTGGCGCTGATAACACAGGTTTCTGAATTCTACATATAGCCCCTTTAAATACCAAAATGAATATATTAGGAGGAAATTCACAACATCTTAACATTTCTGTTGTTGGCTCATCTCGTATGAAAACATTTTAATCCCATTCTTATTGGGACAAAAAAATATAAGTGATAAAAAATATATGGTACAGTTTCCAGGTACTAAAAATGTGACATTCATTGGCTAGTGTGGTTACAAAAACGCCATGGTTTTACTCAGCGGTAATGTATACAAAAGACCTGTTATCCCAAAGGTAAACAAGATTGCTGTTGGGTGTTCATCCACGTGTTTTGGTTATCATCACGGCATAATGCCGCTGTGTGATTGAGAGCTGGTTTTGTTCAGTACCTCTTTTAACTTTCAGAAAACACCATTTTGTCCTGTCATTTTCTATTTTGATGGTTCATCAGTGCATTTCCTTGCCGTGGAGTCACTGTGTTTTAGCTGGCCTCGCCTCTATGCTGAATAATAAAGGTCGTTCAGGATCACGGTGGCAGCAGATCGACTGGGACACTCGTTTAGACTGGGAAACTCAGCGAGACGTGTAGTTTGATGTTGTCAGATGGGTTTACCACAGAATCACTTACATGACGCTGGATCAGGACAGGGGTAAGTCTCCGCAGACGGGACGCTGGCCACGGCCTCTCCACTGGCTAAACTGCTTATTACAAACTTTACGTCATCAACATTGGCAATGACGATGCCACTGCTCGAGTAGAGGGGGAACATCTCGAACTGGAAGCCTGTTGGACAGGATTTAAACAAACATTACTTTCCTCATAAGCGGGCAAGTCACCGATCCCATATCCAAAGGTAAATTCAAGCATGATTTATGGATAACAATTGATAAATACACTACATAAAAACATTTTAATAAAGCAATCTGCAGCCTCTGGTTCTAGAACACTAATTATGTAACACAATACTGTCAGAACACCATAGTTTTACAAATGACCAAGATCAGTCGTTCAGAGTGATGGACATTGAGAAACATCAGGCTTGAAGGGTTCCTTATCCTGTGGCTCCCTCAAGTACAATATGAGCTACTCTAAAAGCACACTAAAGCCCAATGTGACAACGCAGAAAATTAAGTGAGTGTTGTGTGTTGAAATAAGCAGGTGGTGTCATTATTAGGAGGCCGTGACTAATGACTACGGAGGGGATTTGTCCAGGACACCGGAGTTACACCGCTACTCTTCTACGAGAAGTGCCTTGGGGGTTTTAAAGGAGTCGTTCACTTCAGAATTAAAATTTCCTGATAAGTTACTCTCCTCCACGTCATCCAAGATGTTCATGTCTTTCTTTCTTCAGTCGAAAAGGTGTTTGAGGAACACACTCCAGGATGTTTCTCCATACAGTGACTTCAATGGGGTCCAACGGGTCGAAGGTCCAGATTAAATGTTTCAGTGCAGCTTCAAAGTCTCGACACGATCCAGCCGAGGAATAAGAGTCTGATCGAGACAAACCAGCGGACATTTATAACAAAATAAACATTTATATACTTTTAACCACAAATGCTGGTCTTCCACTAGCTGTGATGCGACACACATTACGTCATCAGGTTGAAAGGTCAAGCGTGGCGAAGGCGGAAGAACAGATCTAGTGTTTACAAAGCCAACGTGCAAAGACAGTCTTAAAATAAATAAAAGATAAAACAAAGATGTCGGATGATTTTGAAGTTGGATAAATTGTTTAACCGGGACACGCGTGACCTTTCAACCCGATTACGTAATGTGTGTCGCATCACAGCTAGTGCAAGACCAGCATTTGTGGTTAAAAGTATATAAATGTGTATTTTGTTATAAATGTCCGCTGGTTTGTCTCGATCAGACTCTTATTCCTCGGCTGGATCGTGTCGAGACTTTGAAGCTGCACTGAAACTCACATCTGGACCTTCGACCCGTTGGACCCCATTGAAGACACTATATGGAGAAACCCTGGAGTGTGTTCCTCAAACACCTGAAGAACGACTGAAGAAAGAAAGACATGAACATCTTGGGTGACGTGGAGGAGAGTAAACTATCAGGAAATTATATTCTGAAGTGAACGACTCCTTTAATGACCACAGAGAGTCAAATACCGTCTCATTGGAGGGACGGACTCATGCGGACAGGCATGGCCCTACTTATAATGCAGAGCTAGTCACTGGGTTTAGGAACAATAACACAGTACACTCAAGGTCTAAGAGCACCTGTAAGAAATATCAGGTGTCGCTGCTTGATGAATCTCGCCTGCAGATCCACTAGACAGCCGAGGTCCGGTGCTCTTCGTGACGGAGCGTCACACTCGTGGTACGACAGGATCTCCACAATATGCCTCTTCTCATAAGCAGCGAGGATCTCGTACAAGTTCAAGGCATCCCCTTTGAGCCTGGAGACAGAGCCAGCATCACATGGTCACGGTGAGATCGTGCAGTGTGTCAGCATGTTGTGAAAGGGTTAGGTGTCAAACCTGCTGTGCTCTCGGAGCTTCTTGTGTGATTTGAAGTGTATCCTCCACCTCCAGGGGCTCTGAGGAGAGTTCAGCCGCTCGATGTGCTCAAGGATGTCTCGAAGCTTCTCTGAAAACAGACACACAGCTTTGCTGAAACGCGTGTTAAAAGTTGAACAAACCTAAATCTCAATAATAAGCCCGTTTCCACCGCAGGAACCAGGGACTTTGGGCTGGGACTCGGTGTGTTTTGGGCTGGGACTCGGTGTGTTTCCACCACAAGAACCAGGGACTTTGGGCTGGGACTCGGTGTGTTTCCACCGCAGGAACCAGGGACTTTGGGCTGGGACTCGGTGTGTTTCCACCGCAGGAACCAGGGACTTTGGGCTGGGACTCGGTGTGTTTCCACCACAAGAACCAGGGACTTTGGGCTGGGACTCGGTGTGTTTCCACTGCAGGAACCAGGGACTTTGGGCTGGGACTCGGTGTGTTTCCACCACAAGAACCAGGGACTTTGGGCTGGGACTCGGTGTGTTTCCACCGCAGGAACCAGGGACTTTGGGCTGGGACTCGGTGTGTTTCCACCGCAGGAACCAGGGACTTTGGGCTGGGACTCGGTGTGTTTCCACCGCAGGAACCAGGGACTTTGGGCTGGGACTCGGTGTGTTTCCACCGCAGGAACCAGGGACTTTGGGCTGGGACTCGGTGTGTTTCCACTGCAGGAACCAGGGACTTTGGGCTGGGACTCGGTGTGTTTCTACCACAAGAACCAGGGACTTTGGGCTGGGACTCGGTGTGTTTCCACCACAGGAACTAGTCTCTAAATGAAGCTCCTGCAAATATTTCCCCCTCCAAAAGAAAGTCTCTGCTTGCGAGGTAGTACTTTTCAAAGTTCAGGAACTTTCGGGGGAGGGACTGGGGCGCTGAACATGCTGATTGGTTGAGTTCATGCCACAATTTATTTGAGTTGTTTGCTATTCAAATCAACAATGGAGTTTAAAAAATACGACCGATGACGAGGTTCAGGCTTTATTAAGCTTAAATTCAGAGGATGAAATCCAGCGGGAACTGTAAAGTAGTCTCCGGACTCATTTGCCTAATCTTCCCGGTACTTAAGAGACCGCGGTGGAAACGCAGAGAGTCATCTTCATTTATAGAGCTTTTAACAATGTAGATTGTTTCAAATCAGCTTTACAGTGATAATAGGAAATTACAGTAACAGAGATTGTTTTGGCTTTACAGCAGCTCTAGAATAAAGTTATTGTCCAGCTAAAGTTAGTTTCTCTACTCTAAACTCTTAAGTTCTCTCTACACAAACTTTAAAAATGCGAACCTGTGAGAACGCTAATGGCGTGCACATGTGTATTAAGAGTTCATTCTATATGTATGCGCGTTTGAATATATGTGTGCAGGCATGTAGTCCTTCTCTAAAAAACCAAACCTCAACAAACTACTTGTCTGGCCTTAAAATTTATAATACAGAATTTTATCGCTTTGGCGTAGCCACGTGAACCGGAATTATCCTGACAACGATTATCTGTACAGAGGACAACAGGCCTGGGACACATTGCTCCGGGACACATTGCTCCGGGACACATTGCTCCGGGACACATTGCTCCGGGTAATGTGTGTGTGACGCGCTGCACACCTGCTCGGACACCTGGCGCTGCTGAAAGAGTGTTACCTGCGGTGATGACGGCTGGGTTCAACACGTGCTCGTCAGACACAATGAAGCCCCCGGACTGGAAGAGCTCATTGTAGGTGTGGTTCTGGATGTCACTCAGGTTGTCTACGCCAGCAAAGCTCACGGACGGATGCTTCTTCAGCGAAACCAAAGAAGGGATCTATGGGTGTAAAACGCAACATCTGTGGTTTCAGTGTATGGTTCCCAAATTCAAATCCGCTCTGAGTGCTGAGCTGTGACGTACCTTGTGCACCTGTGTGGCGATGTCCATATTCGGGATGATGACCAGTAGTTTATCTTGACTATTGCTTTTCTCAAGGAAACCCTGAGGGTTACACTCCAAATCCCCCAACTTTTTCAAATATTCCTGTTACAAATGTGAGTATAAGGTTAGTATGCTTCCCGATCTCTGGGCTACTTGAGTTTAAACATCCATCTCGATTCGTTTAACGCTTGACAGTCAGTTTCACCAACATTGAAGCAACAATTCCACCATTTTCAAGTGAAAAATTTATGCCTAAGGCTACGGTCAGACTGTCAGCCCAAATATACGATTTTTGTGCATATCCGATTGAAATCCGACCAGATTTAGCAAGAATGAACGGCCAAAAATCACATGAAATGTGTAAATGTCACTATATCACGATACGAAAATGCAACAATATGTATTGTGGATAGTGACTCTGTATTGTGTATAATTCACCCAAAACTATGTGAGAAAAAATTCAAGTTTTCAGAGTTTGTGTCAGTTCTACAGTAAACTACTGTATATGATGTTGAATATAATGTATAATAATGCAATGGAGGAATATTTGTGTGTGCTGATAATGCCAAATATCTGATGTTACCAGTAAAAAAAGTGTCCTATACATTATTTGAAATATATCTAGTCAGTGAAAGAGTGCAAGCATATTCGTCTATAATAATTCTGTATTTTCATCTTCAGAATCATGTTTTTATGCTGGTGTCTCTATTGTCCTGTGCTTTGGTCCAAGCCTGATCATTTACACACACAATGTAATACCAAATTTACCATTTTAATCAACAGTACATTTTTTGTTAACCTTTCATCACAGTATATGTCTTGGGGTATCGCAATAATCTTGTATCGTGAGTTCAGTATCGTGATATGTATCGAATCGTGACATGAGGGTATTCCCCCACTGCATTATTATACATTATATTCAACATTATATACAGTAGTTTAATGTAGTACTGACCACTAAAACTCCGTAAACTTGAATTTCTTCCTCACACAGAAATTTTATTTTGGGTGAACTATCCACGATACATATTGTCACTATCATAGTTGCATGTATGTATTGCGAAGTATCGTGACGCCTAATCCCTACCAACCCAACATCACTGGCACAGAAACCAGTGCAGATATTCCAGAAACTGAAGAGCGGCATGGACACACACATCAGATGTGAACACTTGCGGTACAACAGTGTGGACATCAATAATTTCAGATCAGATTCCTATCGGGTTTGGACTGACGGTGTGACCGTAGCGTAACTGGCCGTGTCTACACCGGCACTAAACACAGGTGTGAAGCCGCCCAGAGAACAGCAAACTGCATACTGGACACTGGATACACGCGTACCTTTATTTCCCAGCAGACGTCACTCTCCTCCTCCTCGTTGGTGGAATGGATGTAGAAGTGAACCGAGTTCTTCTGCACCCCTTTGAGGATCTCCACCAGGTTACTGATGACCTCCGGCTGCAGCTGATGGATGATGGAGCTGAGCGCACGCTCCATCGGGACGTCTTCAGCGCGTGTGTGTGCGCGCTCCATCGGGACCTCTTCAGGGTGTGTGTGTGAGTGGGCGTGCTCCATCGGGACGTCTTCAGTGAGTGTGTGGGCCATCGGGACGTCATCAGCGTGTGTGTATTCCATCAGGACGTCTTCAGTGTGTGTGTGTGCCATCGGGACGTCTTCAGCGTGTGTGTGTGCCATCTGGCCCTCCACCGTCTCCGTAGTCTCAGCCACCGGACCCCCGTTCATCTCCGCTGAGCCCTGAGGAAGAGCACTGGTGCTGTTCGCTTCCCGGGTCTGGCTCTCGGAGTCCTGCTCTAGCGGCCACAGCGTTTGGGGAGGCTCGTGGACATCACTCGAGTGATGTGGCGTCATTGAGTCCGGTAGGGCACTAGAAGGGGAACACGGTCTCAGAGACGACTCAAAAGTGGTGGTCGAAGGCGAGGAAGCACAAGGATTAATGCTGGAGGACGTATCAGGGACATTTGAAGTAACTTCAGTTGCAGAAGTGGACGAAGACACGTGTTCCTGAGCGGAGCGGGCTCCACTGGCACTCTGGGAGTCTATGAACACCTTCAGGCTGTCCCGGAAAGAGCTGATGTAGTTGGTGACAGGGAAGGGTGTGTGGAAGTTTGAGATGTAATCAGAAAGAGGCAGAACTGGAGTCTTGGGCGGTCCTCGCGAGCCCTGAGCGCTTAAACAAGACACGTAATAAATGTGTCTGTTCCTCAGGAGCTGCTCGACCTCACTGGAGAAGCCGGAGATCTGCTCGTCCACGATGAGGTCGACGCCGGCTCTGGACCCCGGCGCCGGGGGCGGGTCAGCAGGAGCGTGGCTCTCAGTGCTCGCGGCCGCAGGAACGGGCTCGTCGTCCTCCGCTGCGTCGGCCGGATCCTCCAGATCGCCGGCGGTGTTGCTGCTGTCGGGCTGGTAGGCGGGCGACAGCTCCTTCTTGTCAGGCGTGGTGTGTGTGGACACGACCGGGCTCTGGAGGAAGCGGGGGTCTTCAGGGTGGTCCATCTGTCTCTGGGAATATCTCTCCGTTTTCAGACCTAAGCAATTTAGAAAAATAAGATTGTGAAAAATGTAAACAACGTACATGAATTGATAAACTCTCAAATGTAATCCTCAGCAAAGAAGATGTTTTTAAGTCAAGTCAAGTTTGTTTCCAGAAGAAAAAAGCGTCACAGTCCAGCTTAAGTAAGTTCAGTGAAAGAGTTATTAATTTAGTTCATTTATATATATAGCCGCTCTGGAGTAAACCGTGATGTCATCGTCCAGCTCAGTTCAGTTCTCATATAATGCTGTCAATGCAGGAGATCAATAATATTGCTGAATATTAAGTGTTTAGAGGCGACAGTGACGAGAACCCAAACTCCATCAGTGACAGAATGAAGAAATAAACCTCGGGAGAAACCAGACTCAGTCGCTCAGTTCTCCTCTGGCCAACGAACGATCAGTGTGTGATTATGATTCAGGAGCATTACAGGTCAGGTGGAGGATTGGATCAGAACATCAGAATATTAATCCAGTTCATCTGGCTGAAGATCGGAGTCACGCCGGTATGGAGACGGGTGTGTTGAGGATCAGGGCCGATCTGTAGTGTCGATCGAGTCGATGCTCATTCTCAGAAACACTGGCTGCATCCGAAATCGCACACTTCCCAATAGGTCCCAATAATAATACAGTAGGCGAAATATGACATTAGTATGTCCAGATTCACAGTACTCATAAAAGAGTGTCCTACTACTTCCAGTGAGATTCTGAAGTGAGCATACGATGGACACTTCACTATCCCATGAGGCCACGGGAGAGGATCTGTGAACAGCAGTGAACTGACGCTGGTAGATCACATGATAATGTACATCCAGAACACATTCATCCTACACACACTCTAGATACTAGAGCACTATACACTCATGCTATACAGAACATATTTTTGTATCGGTCGTGAAGTAATTACTTGTTCAACATAAGTACCTACTCAAGAGAGTGTGTGATCTCAGACGCAGCCAGTGTTTAGTGTCCCCCATGATGCATTACTGATATAATGAACAGATATATGAGAGAACTGGTCTTAAGTTGGCTAGTGGGACACCGCCTTAAGTTCAGAGGTCATTCAAACAAATTAAGACTCCCTCCAAATCTCTAGCTGCTAGAAAATCGTCCACATGGTTCAGACAAAGGTCATTTCTCTTAATACCGCGACACATCTAAAACAGGAAAGAGCTTTGAGATCGACTGTACAACTAGATTTGACAAGAGTCTGAGGTATATTTTACAGACTTCTGAAAGCTACAGAACAGAGACGCAAACGGATCGCTGTAATTCATAGAAACAACTGGATCCAGGCAGTGAAAGGTGGATTTGCAGTTATTTTGTCTCATGTTGAATTGTAGAGTAAAATCATATCCTATATTGTATTGTTATATATTGTATTGATAACTCATCAATGAAATATTTACCATCTTATATTCTGCATAATTTGATGTTTTTAAATAAACTGACAAAAACTATACAAGTTTTAGGGCTGGATGATATATATTAGGGGTGGAGCCGAACCCGAATACGGTATTCGGAAAGGTACAAATAACGTGTTTTTTACGAATAGTTATTTCGAACAAATACTTAAAAAAATATTTGTATTCGGGAACAAGAAAAACTTTATATCAAAAAGCTGCATTTCATCACGAGACCGCAGTGCATGCACGGATGAGTGAGTTAGAGTGAGTGAGTGAGTGAGGTTCAGGAAGAGGTGACTGACACAGGCTGCTCCACAGACACAGCAACAGAGAGGGCTCGGCTGAGCGAAAAAACACTTAACTGCATCACTATTTTTGTTGAATAGATTTTTGTACCTTAACTGGGTTCCGGAGGCAGTTTATAACTTTCGGGAAGCGGAGTTTGCTCGGGAGATTATTCCATTACGCTGCATTATTGACGTCTGCAGTCGGGTGCTCTCATGTTCGCTCTGTTTACGTACGTTCGGTTAAAAAGGTTAAAAAATGCTTGTGTAGTTGTGTGAATTGTATGCACTTGTGGGAGTTATATGGTACGCAGACATCCCAAGTCTCTATTGATAGCGGCTCCCTGAAATTAGGGATGCACCGATCCACATTTTTTCACTTCCGATCCGATCCCGATACCTGAATTTGGATATCGGCCGATACCGATTCTATTCCGATACCAGAGCTGTGTTTGCTTTAATATTATTATTATCATTATTGTTGATTTTATATGATGCTGAAATAAACTCCTCTCAACAGGCAAGTATGATATGTACGTATCTATGCGTGTATGGCCTAAAAGGCAACTTTAGGTAAGTATAAGGTCAGAAAAACAGGAAATCCTGTTAACAGGAAAAATCCCATTCTGAAAGCAAATATGCAACTGCAAGGGTTTCAAATTGATTGTCATGTCAATATTTATTACATTCCCAAAATGTCAAATACTTGAGTCTTGAAATATAAGAAAAGTGCAAGTGTAAACATCTTACACACACACACTATCAATAAAACAGTTTGCATCAACAGCAAAAAAAAACAAGTACACTGGCTCTTTTAGCATCAACAAATCAAGGTTTTAAAATGTAAAATATTAGAAATATAAGAAAAGTGCAATAGTCCAACATTTTCGTAGGCTATTCGTGATTCAGCTGCTCTGAATTGTCAAAACACCATTCAAACTCTATTCAAACTTCTTGCTACAGATGCGAAAAACGCAGATTTTTTTTATGACGGACGAAAGTTTCAGTGGCAGTATGCAAGCGTGATTGACATAACGTGAGGTCGTATTTATTTTTTAACGTGCGAAAATTTCAGACGTGAATTTCGGACTCCGTGTGCAAGGGCCTTAACACACACACACACACTCTATCAATAAAACGGCTCCCGTTGTCTTTCTGCCCACTGGCTAAAAAACCCTCGTGCTCTTTAACGTGGTGCTTTTTTAAATGTTTGATTGCGTTCGTTGTGTTGACCGACGCGAGGGAGCTTCCACCTCTCTGAATTACAGCTTTGCAAACATTGCATTTTGCTGTCTTGCTCCGCGGTGTTTCCAGTGTGAAGTATTTCCACACAGCGGACATAATGCTGCTCAATGCTTTCCTGCTAGCTGGCTGCAAACTGCGGAATGGATTTTCTGAGCGGAGGCGTGTCTCATGACTGTGTCTATTTGAGCCGCGCCTCCGTTCAGGAAATCCATTCCACAGTTTGCAGCCAGCTAGCAGACTAGCCGGCGGGAATCAATTTTGGAGTCATTTCAGCAGACAACGTTAAAGCGCAGACATGGCTCATGGATATCGGATATCTCCGCAGGTTGGATCGGGAAAATCCGATACGTGAATTTACGCTGGTATCGGTCCCGATACCGATACTGGATCGGATCGGCCCCATCCCTACCTGAAATTAGTTCAAATCTCCCGGAATCTAACGCGCATGCGAGACAGAACATACTGTGCTCCAAACTGTTAGCGCGCGCACGGAAGAGAGCTGAGAGCGAGAGACCTTGCTTGTGTGCGTTATGAAAGCTAGTCACCCCCCGTCACCAATCCAGTCAACTCCAAACTAGATTTTTAGGCCTATTTTGAATTTTACTCGAATACGAATACAAATACTTCCCCCCCCCCCCCCCCTCAACAAATACAAATACAGATACAAATACCGGCTGCTTTGCACACCCCTAATATATATATATAACATTGATATGAGTGATCACATGGATCTAGACCTATACCTATATTGTGTTTATGTTGCATTCACATGCAAATTTGCTTTGTTTATTTCCTGCTGCAGGTCAATATCACTGGATCTTTGGTAAGTTGTGAGGAACACTATATCAAGTCCAACCTTTAGTTTAAACAGGGGAAACGCCAGTAAAACAGACGATTATCTGTTAACTCCAGTCACACTCAGCTCTCCTGCACTCAGTCTGGCATCGACAATATATTTTCACGCTCCTAAACAAAACTAATTGTGATTGGTTGCGTTACATGTCAGTCAAACGCCGTCTTAGACAGGAAAAGCTTTGATAGAGCGCAGAGCCTCTGGTTACGCGAGACTAACGCACACCCTCTATTGGCCTTGTTAACTTAAAATGCACAACAACATAATACTGACTGTAAAAAAAAAAACGTTTTTGCTGATATGAACTGGCGGGTCATTCTGAGCCCTCGGCGCCTGTACCTGTGATGGGTATCAGCACCCACGGGATGGTCTTCTCTCCGAGCAGGTTGACGCCGCGCTGCTGTCCGCCTGAGTCTGAGCACGGGCTGAACGCTTCTAGACTGCTCAGGCTCCCGGCCGTCTCCTCCTGAAACCACAACAGCAGCGTCAGACGGCAGACCTGCACGCCTTTAAACACATCACTGGAGGAATGCCAGCTAGCAGAACAATAAACAAGACTCTGGCTAGATGTGAAACTAGCAGCTGTTGTTGAAGTAAAGAACATCAAAGTATTCAAACATCTGCTCCTGTTTTTCATCTTTACATTTATTAAAACTGAGGACTTATTGCTCCACATTCACCAGCAGAACAATGGCTTATAATATACCTAACCTGAGAATAATACAGAAGCAGAGTTAAGATCAGAGTGCACACTGATAAACACAGGTGTACATGCGCAGTGGCGTGAGCAGCGGGATGTACCTCGAGGCCGTCGGTCCTCCCGGGCTCGTCGTCGTGGATGAACCTCTTCCTCAGGTCGATGTCCCGGTCCGTGGGGAGGCCGAGTCTCAGCATGCTGTCGAACAGCGCGGCGTCAGAGATGTCCTCCGCCTCCTTCAGCTCGGAGTCGGCGGGCGACTCTGAGGAGCCTCTGGTCAGGGTGTCGATCAGCTTGATGACCTCCAGCGCCCCGTGGCTCTTGTCTTTACGCAGGTCTGTGTCGAGACTGGTCGTCCCGAAGCTGTCCAGCATCTGCATGACCTTCAGCGCACTCTGAGACTTGTCCTTCCTCAGGTCTGTGTCCTGAAGGCCGACGCTGCTCACGACATCAGAGAGATGAGGAGCGGACTGCAGCTCATCCGCTGACGAGAGAGAGAGAGAATTAGGCCAATACCCTCTACTAATACACGTTGAGAAACGAGCCATCACATTTTGGAAACATCTAAAAATGAGTGACCCCAACTCTTATCATTTTAAAGCCCTTAAAACCCATGAAATAAACCCTGAGAAGAGACCGCTCCTTCAGCTGGTCCTGCGGCTCCACACACAGACTAACACCACTGACCATCCTCCGCCTCAGGACACACACACCCTCAGCCACACCATCCGGCCCAACCACATCATACAAGCACAGCGAGAGAGTTACCTGACCTACTGGACTGAAACCACAGACAAACAACGTAAACTTGAATGTTATTTGGACTTAAATAGAGACTACACCACCGCAGAATACCTGAGTGCAGTGAAAGACTAAACTAAGAAGGATGACGAGGTACAGACTGAGCATCACACTCTGACTGTGTGTGTGTGTGTGTGTGTGTGTGTCTGTACAGACTGAGCAATCACACTCTGACTGTAGAGACGGGCCGACAGAACTGGCTCCCAGAGAGTGTGTGTGTGTGTGTGTCTGTCTAGACTGAGCAATCACACTCTGACTGTGTGTGTGTGTGTTACAGACAGAACTGGCGGTCCAGAGAGAGACGCGTCTGCCCGTACTGTGAGCAGGGAGAAGTGGAGACAGAGCAACACTTCCTCACCAGCTGCCCCAACTATGAGGACATTAGAGGGACTTTTTACACAAAATTAGAAATACTTTGCCCTAACTTCTGGGCTGAAGCTAAAATGTGCAGGACCGTGGCCCTCCAGGACCGATGTCGCCTATCCCTGCTTTAGACCTCCTGTACTCCTTACTTTCATCTCGAGTTGAGTTTTGATACGGTGACATTAAAAACAAAGACAGTAGAGAGTTGATTTGTTTGTGTATACTGACATAGTTAGGCACTTTGGTCAACTGTGGTTGTTTTTATGCTATACAAATACATTTGAACTTGAACTATACAGTGCAAACAAGACTCTGAAATGAACCTTTGCACCGATGAATGTAAAATCCCTAATCCCGCCGATTCCCCGAGGCTCCTCACCTTCCGCGAGCTCGTCGCTGGGCTTGCTCCTCTGGCGTTTGGCGGCTCCCTCAGCAGCGTGGAGCTCCCCCTTCCTCTTCTCCGCGGCCTCGGCCCCTGCGCCGCCCTGCGAGCTCTTCTTGTTGAGCTGGATGAGCTCCAGCAGCTCCTGCACTCTCTCGGGGTTCTCCTGAGCGCTGCCGGCGTGGCCCAGCTCCTCCACCGTCGCCTTCAGGCCGTGCAGGGCCAGCGTGAACAGGCCCGGGCTGTAGATGTAGGGCCGCAGGAAGGGCTCCAGGCTGGGCTTCTGCCGGGGGGCGGGGAACAGCTTCTCCCGCACGTCCAGCTTGGGGTCGTAGTCGGTGCGGACGCGCTGCACGGGCTTGCCCAGCCGCAGGTGCGTGAGGTACTCGCACACCGACTGCTGTACGCAGGCGCTGGGGTCGGCGGGGGGGTCCGCGCGGGCCTTGCTCAGGGCCAGGTGAAGAGCGGACACGAACGAGTCGTGCTGGGGCATGACGGGACCCCAGCGCTCGGAGGACACCGGCCGGCAGGGAGCCGCTGCTGCACAGACACAAACATCATTACTGATAATACACTAAATATTAAGATCAGAAATAAGATTAGTGCGACTTGAGCCTGAAACTATTGAGCTATTGTAAATATGAAAACGCAGATAGCTTTTCGTACATTGTGTCTGAATGCCATGTTTCCATTTAAAGTTGTGAATTTAACTTATGCAGGGTTGGAATATACACCATCTGCTAATGAAGTCCCATGTGTTCCAAGTGAACACAATCGTCACTTACTGGGAAATTCTGTCAAAAAAGAAAAGAAAAAAGGAAGTTGCTGATATCGGGGAAGAAACTGGCTCTTTTATCCTCCATCATAAATGCCAGACGAAACACAATAAACCCTGTCATGTTTTCTTGAAATATCTAAAATTATCATCTATAGATTCTAAAAATGTGCATAAAAAAATCTGTTATTGAGCTGGAAACACCTTTTATCCGATAAGAAGTGTGGTGGATTTTTAATAAATAAGACTAATTATGTTACTAACCATAAAAATCTGATTTTAGATTTTTATCCTATGATAAACTTTTATCACACTTCTCGTTTTTATGTCTGATGGTGACTAACTTTCCATTCTAGATCTAACAATAAACCAAAATAAATCTTACTTCCTTTTATTTAGACTGTAGCCATCAGACGAACTTTCGATATGATCTAACCATCTAACAAACTTTTGACTCAATGGAACTTTGACCAATGGAACCTTGGTCAATGGAACTTAATGGAACCTTGGTCAATGGAACTTAATGGAACCTTGGTCAATGGAACTTAATGGAACCTTGGTCAATGGAACTTAATGGAACCTTGGTCAATGGAACTTAATGGAACCTTGGTCAATGGAACCTTGGTCAATGGACTAAACGTTCTGTTCTTTGACTGTATGATTCAAAATGAATGATTCAAAATGATAAATGATTGACTGAAATATTAACCCCTTACAATGTTTCTTGATGATACAGGATATTTTTGCTGATGTCACTAACAAAGGGTAATGAAGCCCCCCTTCATTAAAAGGTGCCCTAGAATGTGAAATTGAATTTATGTTAGCATAGTTAAATAACAAGAGTTCAGTACATGGACATGACATACAGTGAGTCTCAAACACCATTGTTTTCTCCTTCTTAGTTAAATCTCGTTTTTGAAAAACACCCCTGAAAAACAGGCGAATCTCCACATATACCCGACTGTGACGCAACAGTCGGGATCATTAATATGTACGACTCCAAATATTTGCATATGCCAGCCCCAGAGATGGGGACTCGAGTTTGAGACTCGGACTCGAGTGCGACTTAAGTCCCACACACAGTGACTTCAGACTCGACTTGAGACTCGTCCTCGAAAGACTTCAGACTCGACTCGGACTCGAGCTGCGGGACTCGTGAACAATGTTTATTTTTAGGAAACGTCTGATGAGCTCGCTGTTATCCCCCTCCCTCCGTTACCTATAACCTGCCTACGTAACCACGTACTACGTGGCCTATTGCTGGCAGCGCGCGCGCGACCATGAGAGGATAACAAACAAAAAGTTCGACTGCACCGGCCGCTGCTGTGCCATTCATCGTTACCTTTGGGTTCAAAAACTTCAAACAAGACGCGCTCAAAAGAAGCGCTCAATGCAAATTATGCAGTATCACGATAAAAGATTCTGGCTCAACTACATCTAATTTTATCAGGCGTCTGAAAACGCACCCTGATAGGTGAGTAAACATGTTTAGCTCAGCATTGACCATCTACCGTTAGCTTGCTTATTGCTTTAGCTACCTAACGTTACGGGAGGTTAACTCCGATTGTCTTCCTTATGAAATATGAATGAGCGATTGTTTAATTGCCAAACTTGTGGTGGTCGATTAACGTAATGTTAATCATTTACGTGCCGCTGGCTGCCCGTTGTCTACAAACAGGTTACAGGATTATTGTTGTTTATGTAACGTTACAGTTTAATTTAGTTATAACGTTACACTGGTTTGAGAGTCTGGGATGTGGTGACTTACAGTATAACGTTAAGCTATGATTAGTTGCATAGGCAGTGCAGCCAGAAGAAGCCAGAAATGTTTTGTGGCCCATACCTAGTGAGTGTGTTAAGAGAAGAGAAGGTTAACCAGTCTGATCTCACCCTTTGGATTTTATTTCTAAACATTTTGTTCTTAACAAGTTAACGTTACATGCCATAAGTTGGTCAGTTGCTTCACATTTACACTAAAGATTTTGAGCATTTGGATGTTTTGGAAGTGCACTGTAGTGTTAATTTCATTTGGACGCAATAGTTTATTTGCATTTAGCTACACTGATGTTTTGCACTAAATAGGAGTGTGTCAATTTTAGTGTTGTGAGTTATATCATTTTCTATATTTGGTCTTATGTCTTGGTATGTTCAAGCTACAAGGCAAAATAAAGAAATTAACTAGGTCCTAAAAGTAAAGCATTCTTGGTGTTTTTGTCATGTTGCAATAGCCTGTTTACACTGCTTATATACCAAAATCAAAGCTGATACTGTATGCTAATAGATAAAGGAGTCATAATAACATATGGTACCACTTTATTTTGATAGTCCACTTTATACATTCGACTAACTATAAGTAACTTTGCAGCTGCATGTCAACTAACTCTCATTAGAGTATTAGTAGGCTTAATATCTGCTAATTATGTATTATAATATCTTATTTTGTTGGTTCCCCAACAGATATTCTACTGACTATAAGTAACTTGGCAACTACAAGTCAACTTGTTCTCCAAACCCGAACCCACATCATAACCTGACAGTCTACTAATACTCTAATGAGAGTTAGTTGACATGTAGTTGAAAATGTACATGGTTAGTAGAATGTCTAAAGTGGACTATCGAAATAAAGTGTAACCTAACATATTACATGCTTCGAATTCCTTATATAAAGTTATGCAGTGTTCTAAGCAACCTGGATGGGTCGCTGTACGTGATGCAACACTTATAACCACAAGAGACTTGAGACTTGACTTGGACTCTAGCTCAGAGACTTGAGACTTGACTTGGACTCTAGCTCAGAGACTTGAGACTTGACTTGGACTCTAGCTCAGAGACTTGAGACTTGACTTGGACTCTAGCTCAGAGACTTGAGACTTGACTTGGACTCTAGCTCAGAGACTTGAGACTTGACTTGGACTCTAGCTCAGAGACTTGTGAGCATCTCTGGCCAGCCCTCAATGCCAGGCGGAACTGCGCAGCCGAAGCATGGCAGTTGCTCAGTGTTTGGATGTACACATGAACACTAGGGGTGGAACGGTACATGTATTCGTATTGAACCGAAACGGTACGGGCGTCACGGTTCGGTGCACGAATTTGCACGGAGAATACACGGTACAAATAAAAAAAAAACCTCTTAAATAGCGATAAATTTCGCTCTATTCGCTTTTGGTGTGACTGTGAACGCAGCAATGAACAGGCTGCGATCAAGATTGCAATGCTGGAGTGTGTGTGTGCGCGCGCGCGAGAGAGAGAGAGGCGCGATGAACAGTGTGTGTGTGTGCGAGAGAGTCGCGATGAACAGTGTGTAGAGTGTGTGTGTGTGTGTGTGTGTGTGCGTGCGAGAGAGAGAGAGGCGCGATGAACGTGTGTGTGCGAGAGAGAGAGAGAGAGAGAGAGAGAGAGAGAGAGAGAGAGAGAGAGAGAGAGAGAGAGAGAGAGAGAGAGAGAGAGAGAGAGAGAGGCGCGATGAACAGTGTGTGTGTGCGAGAGAGAGAGAAAGAGGCGCGGGCGCGAATCGCGCGATCGAACTGTGTGTGTGTGTGTGTGTGTGTGTGTGTGCGAGAGAGAGAGGGGCGCGCCGCGAATCGCGCGATCGAACAGTGTGTGTGAGAGAGAGAGAGGCAAGAGCGATCGAACAGTGGAAACATAAAAACATACTCCGTCATTTTTTTCATACAGGACATCATTAAAACGGCAAATTGTTTACTTTTATTTGTGTACACTCACAATAAAACACAACATTGTGCTTTTGTCACACTCTAAACTCTTGTCAAACTGTAACCTACAACTGTTAACAAAAGTTTTTAATGGTAGTATTATTTTATACGGAAATCAATTATTTATAATTCAGATGAGAATAAAGTTAGGGTTAATTAAAATGAAGGAAAACAAATATATTGATATGAAATAGCAAATTAATTTTAAATTCATTCAGGTACAATTACCAAACATATCTCAAGGTCTTTTCGTCTTTTTAATAATTTGATTAATAAACTAATGATATAAAACTACTGTCAGTGCACTACAAATAAACTGGTTCTCTGCCTTTATTAATAAAACTTATTAAAAAAAATACAAGGCTTAAGACATTTATAAAAAAGCCTTCTGCATTTTTGTTTTGCTATTCACTCCATTGTACCGAAATCGTACCGAACCGTGACGTCTGAACCGAGGTATGAACCGAACCGTGACTTCTGTGTACCGTTCCACCCCTAATGAACACAAAAGTATTTTTTAGTTCCTTCATCTGAGCCTCTGAAGAAACAATGGGTTAATTTTATTTTCTCTGGAAATTTCCAAACATTTCACCGACTGTTTCCTCAACTTGGGCCAATACAGAGCTGGCCTCGGATCGAGCTACCAAGCAACACTTTCTGATGTGTAATTGTTCAAGTTCAGACAGGTAATCTTTCTCTCAAAATCGTTCAATACTGTTTATGCATCAGTAAGTCAAGCCAGTGACTAAAATATCAACTTCACATCGTTTCTTTTAGTAGGATGAAAATAATCGTATTTAAATTGTGAACAAATTATATACAGAAAGCGATCAAAGAACAATCTTTCCACACAGCGCGAGTTTATCTGGACACTTGCCAAACTCGTTATGAAATCAATGACGCACGTTACTGCACAACGAAGCTCTTACTGTATTTACATCATCGTGTTTGCATTGGGGAAAGCATTAGAGAGTGCAGAAACTGCTTTGCAATGATGATATCTTCATTCTCGCGATCAACACACTGTCATCTGCTCAATGCTCATCACGGCAACATTTTATGTGATGGGAATAGATCTAAATACTTTAAAAACATCTCACGATTCGTTAATCTCGATAGCTGTTATAGTAAAAACGTATAATAGCAGTAGTAAAAGTATTCGAGAGAGTTTCACATGTAATGCGTAGCTATTTCATATGCAAGCATGTCAGCCAATCACAGCAGTGGCCGCGGTTACACTGAATCCCACAGCAGACACGCCCCTTCAAACAGAGTGTTCAAATCAGAGGCTAAAAGCAGGCTAGGAAAAATGCCATTTATTTCTAAATTATGATTATTTTTTATCTAAAAAACATACTAACATTATAAGGGCAACCCAGGAAACATTATAAAATAATAAAAAAAAACATTCTAGGGCACCTTTAAACTTGCTTGCTTTAAACAATTTAACCAATCATAATGATAGAGCGTGACATGTTAGTCATGATGATTCTGTTTTGATGTCAATCTGTCTGGCTTGATCCTATAAAGCTTGTTGTACTCTTCTTTTGGGTTGAGATTCTCTGAGAACCACTCGAGAACTCCCGGCCGTAATAAAGAGCATTTAAAGGACAATAACTACGGTCTGTCTGTCATTTAAGCTGCGCAGCAAGCAAGTACCTTAGAATTATAGGATTAGACGGATGCTGTAGTCGATTGGAGACTCGCTGAAGTGTAAACTTAGCTAACGTCAATGTATAGGCGCGCAAGAGTATAAGTATCATAGGTACGTAGTTAGGTTTAGGGAAAACATCTACAAAAGAAGACATGCTCATAAACTACGATGGAAACACATTTACTGAATAAATCTCTCGAAGCGCAACAATAAACTCAGGTGACTTTGCCTCAGGCTGTGATTGGATAACTGGAGTATCCAGCGGACCAATGGCATCGCCGGAGCCGGAGTCTGTGATCAGAATGATTTGGTTTAATTCCCTCCAGAAGCGTCTCACACACACCAGCATCCCAACGCAAGAGATCATGACAGCGTTTACTGAGTTTCGTCTGACGCTCTGAGACACACTCGTTCATGATGGAGGGAAAAGAGTGACGATTGCAGAAACTTACAGCGCCAGTTTCACAGGAAGTGATGATTTTGTTCTCTTGAACACATGGGAAGGAAACACTGCTTTACTTGCAAATGTTTTATGCCATATTCCAACCCTGCATAAGTTAAATTCGCAACTGGATGGAAACATGTATACTGGTATTTGTACCGACTACTGGGTGTTTGTATGGTGATGACACTAGTTTGAAGAGAAGCTCACTACCCACGTTAGCTAAAGTAAGATTACCAGTGTATGTTTGTGACTAGATACATGATTGATAACATCTGTTTAACAGCACACACATTTGAAGTTAATACGATCACTTCCTCGAGTTAATGAAATATGTTAAACGAATGTGCTTGCAATATTTTGGCCAAGCATTCACGTGTGTGTTTGCATAAAACATGCTTCTGGCTTTAAGAAGCTTCATGTGGATTTAACAGTGTACATGTCTCCAGATACTCACGGCTCTTTAACAGCTCGCGCTTCTCTCGGTAAATGAAAAGTGCTTGTATACACGACATCTTCCAGCCGCCTCGTCGCTCTGTAAAATCAAAGACATTTGAAATATTTCAAAGATGGATTTGTGTTACACTGCCGTTTCACCATCATTAGCTCATACCGCTGGAGTTGGCCATTTGACTGGCGGAGAGCAAGAAGAAGAACCCTCGGTCCTTCACCATGTTCACCAGCACCTGCAGAGACACACACAGTCAGCTGACGGACAGCAGCCGCACTCGAGCCGCACTCGAGCCGCACTCACCAGCCCCTGCTCCTCCAGAGTCTGCAGCAGAGCGCTCAAGCTCTTCGGGGACTTGTCCTTCTCCACCACGTCAAACAGACTGCAGAACATGCCACTCTTACACACTGCCAAAACAAACCAGACACAGTATTTACAGCAGGTTATCGTACCTCTACTCAATGCAACTTTAACATCCCTACAACAGATGTGCAGCACAACAAGCAAACCAAACGAATAATACACATCACAACATAATGACATCTGCTGAAAGCTCAACTGCGTATCGTGACAAACCCCCCTAATTTGACTAGTTGGCATTTATTATATTGTCGACATTAGGGCCGCACTATAGTGCAAAAAATGGACATTGCAGTGTCTAAATACATAGCGATATGAGAAAATACAGGCATGTTCACCAGATGACTCGAATAGTTATATTTGGAAAGAACACCATATCTGTATCGGCCGATATATGTTAATTTTTAATGTTATCGTTATTGGCCCAACGAGACAATTAGGCTGACATATTAAAGGGGTCATATAATGGTACATGCACTTTTACAAGTTGATTGTACTGAAATGTGTGTTGGCAGTGCCTGTATACAAACATCATATAATGATAAAAATCCATCCAGTGGTTTTGTTTTAATCTCCTTATATGTTTTCCCCTGCCTCAAATCGAGCCGTTCGTTTTTGTGACGTCAATAAAACGGACGCCCCTCCCACGACTGTTGATTGACGGGAGCGTTTCAACACAGACCCGCCCTCGCACATGAGGTAGCTGTCAATCATAGTCTGCGCGGCGCGGACCGGACCGGCGCGGTCATTGTTGATATGCTGGAGCTCTGTCTATGAGCAGAATGGCGTCTAAGCGATTGTGGTGTTCTGTTCTTGGGTGTAATAACGAACACAGTCATTTTAATGTTCCTAAATCCGAACCGCTGAAGACGCAGTGGCTGAGTTTGTTTTCGAAGGGAATATTCCCCACGAGCAACGTCAATGCTCTCATGTTTGCGCGAATCATTTCTCACCAGACTGCTTTATAAACGAGGGTCAGTATAAAGCTGGATTTGCTAAGAAGCTTTGCTAAAAAGGATCGGTCCCAGATATTCGTGTTCCTGCTGAACCTCCAGAAGAACGGAAGTGAGTGAAACGTTTTATTAAACTTTATATTAATATATTAATCTTTGCAAATCGCTAGCTGCACGCTTCACAATGAATGCGTCTAAGGTTTACACTTAGGGTACATTACGGCATGTTTTCTATGTATGACGTTCTCAATATAATTCATAATTCCACGTTTATACTGAACAACGCGTTATGGTTATTTTGTTATTGTGTTACAAACGGTGTATGCACAGAACAGAGAGGCGGGGTGAGCGCAGCTCATGATCATTTAAAGTCATATGCACTGAAACGGCGCGCTGAAAACAGAGCTGTTTTTGACCAGGTAAAATAAGTGTTTTCTTACAATACTAATGAGAATTTTTAATTAAAGTATATTACAAACTTTTAATTTAGACCCTAAAGAATCATATTAGCTTGTACAAAAATGGCATTATATGACCCCTTTAAGGCCAATATATAACGTTGTGAATTCTTTGGGTTTAGTTGCTGCGACGGTAAGAGCGCATCCACAACTGGAGTTACACTTTCTGACTCGCACGCAACTTAGTTCAAGTTCACTTGTGCATTCGCATCATTTTGTGCAGATATAAGTTGTAATATTACGTTTATGTTGTATATAAATACATGATTAATCTCATTAGGATGCGTTTCATTGAGTTCAGTTTCCTAGAGTTCACTCAGCTCCAGCACACACAGCTCTAACAGCAATGCTGCCATTTGAAATGGTAATATTCATTTTAGATTTCTTTTGTTGTGGTTGCAAAAACATTGATGCATTATTTATTATAACTAACACTTTAATTTTTCTCGTATTATTTCATCAACAATATGGTTTAAAAGTGACATTATTGTCCGTGCGGAGGCTATTCCATTGTATTCATCCATGAGACCTGCATTTAATCCTTTATACGCAAGTAATGTTGTCCAATGACTTGCTTACATTATTTAGGCATTGTTTAATTTCTTTGTAAGTCTCTCTCTCTCTCTCTCTCTCTATATATATATATATATTTATATTAGGGGTGTAACGATATTTGAACCGAACCGAAAAATCGCGATACACCACCCACGATACGTATCGCGATACTCTCATGGCGAACCGAACACGCCCCGCCCCCCGCTGCCCCGCCCCCTGCTGCCCCGCCCAGCCCCGGCTCATTGCACCTCATGTGTTGTGTACACAACGAATACAGGGCTGTTGCCTAACCACCATTAACCACATATAATCGCAATAAGCTCAGTGTTTTGTTACTTTTGATAATAAGCAAGGTGTAATCTTTCAAATTATGTCTATTTGATCACGAAATGCAAACAATAAATGCCGTTTTGGCGCTCTTAGATGTGGCGTGACAGATATCACTGTATGCATGCGGCAGCGCGGAGCGCGATCATCTCTTTCTCAGTTACAGAATAAACATGAATGGACACCCGAAGGTATGTTGAAAGATGCAGTATACTTACTGAAAGGCATCATAACTCGTGTAAACACTCAATCAGTGTTTCAACAGCGGAAATACGTCAATAAAACGCTTAGTTTTTCACATAGCTTTATATTTACCTCAGGCAAGTCATTCAGTGTCCACAGCTTGCTGGTTTGCTAACTCTTTCACTAAATAAATGCTATATATTAGCCTATATATTATATTTTACTTAACCTGTTTATGATATCTTGATTATTTAATGTATGTTTAAAATAGTTGTCATGAAAATAACAGCAACTGTGTAAATTATTATATAACAATAACAAATTAGAGTAAAAACATGTTAATGCAAAAATTGCCTTATGTGCAGTTTACATGTTTTCATACAACCTGTTATTTGAGTGTTGATTATTATTATATAATTTAGGCTAAAAGTCTAGGCTCTGTTGTTAAGCTTTAATGTTATAGTAATGTGCAAGTAAGGGCTGTAGTTTACAGCATTAGCAGATAATTTTGTTATCCTTGCGAAACGTTTACTTGTAATTGAATTAATTTAAAGACAAGGACACAATTTGTTCATTAAAGCACTGTTTAATAAAAAATAAAAGCAATTTTAGCTTTCTAAACCCCCCCACCCCACCGAAATGAACCGAACCGAACCGAGACCTCAAAACCGTGGGACGAACCGAACCGTCAGGTTTGTGTATCGTTACACCCCTAATATATATATATTTTTTTTTTTTGATAAAGAAAGTTTGTCATCGGAGTGTAAAATTAATTTTAAAAGTTAAGGAATCTTACACTGGTTCACTATAGGCTACTGTACTGTATATGTTTGATTATTATTATGTTGAAGCTTGGGACTAGATTTTAATGGTGAGACTTTTGTTTTTTATAATCAGGCTCTCAAAAATTTCATAAAAATTTGGATTTAGATTTATTGGCCAATATAACGGTTATAGGCTTTAAAATGCAAAGAATGATCGGTATCGGCCAAAACGTTGATATCGGTGCAGTAATCCTTCTAGGGCTGAACGCTTTGGGAAATGGTTGACGAACAGCAACCTCCTTCAGGAACCATAACATGCGCAGAGTTTACAAACCATCTCTCTTCACACAGGGCACATTCCCACAGTTCCAATCCAATATAAAACAACAGTAATGTCTGTGAAACCTTCGTGGCTGCCGGTGTAGATGCTCCAGGAGAAGAGTGCGGACGGCATCTTCTGCTTCACCTGCTGCAGACGCATCACGGTGCCCACTTCGATCTTCTCCGGCCTGAGGACACAGCAGCAGTGGGTCAGCGGGTCAGTGGGTACACAAGCACACAAGCAGGAACACAGGCACACAGCGGGAACACAAGCAGACAAGCAGGAACACAGGCACACAGCGGGAACACAGGCACACAAGCAGGAACACAGGCACACAAGCAGGAACACAGGCACACAAGCGGGAACACAGGCACACAGCGGGAACACAGGCACACAAGCGGGAACACAGGCAGACAAGCAGGAACACAGGCACACAAGCAGGAACACAGGCAGACAAGCAGGAACACAGGCACACAAGCGGGAACACAGGCACACAGCGGGAACACAGGCACACAAGCAGGAACACAGGCAGACAAGCAGGAACACAGGCACACAAGCGGGAACACAGGCACACAAGCGGGAACACAGGCACACAAGCAGGAACACAGGCACACAAGCGGGAACACAGGCACACAGCGGGAACACAGGCACACAAGCAGGAACACAGGCAGACAAGCGGGAACACAGGCACACAAGCGGGAACACAGGCACACAAGCGGGAACACAGGCACACAAGCGGGAACACAGGCACACAAGCAGGAACACAGGCACACAAGCGGGAACACAGGCACACAGCGGGAACACAGGCACACAAGCAGGAACACAGGCAGACAAGCAGGAACACAGGCACACAAGCGGGAACACAGGCACACAAGCAGGAACACAGGCACACAAGCGGGAACACAGGCACACAAGCAGGAACACAGGCACACAAGCAGGAACACAGGCACACAAGCGGGAACACAGGCACACAAGCGGGAACACAGGCACACAAGCGGGAACACAGGCACACAAGCGGGAACACAGGCACAAAAGCAGGAACACAGGCACACAAGCGGGAACACAGGCACAAAAGCAGGAACACAGGCACACAAGCGGGAACACAGGCACACAAGCGGGAACACAGGCACACAAGCGGGAACACAGGCACAAAAGCGGGAACACAGGCACACAAGCGGGAACACAGGCACAAAAGCAGGAACACAGGCACACAAGCGGGAACACAGGCACAAAGCGGGAACACAGGCACACAAGCAGGAACACAGGCACACAAGCGGGAACACAGGCACAAAAGCGGGAACACAGGCACACAAGCGGGAACACAGGCACAAAAGCGGGAACACAGGCACACAAGCGGGAACACAGGCACAAAAGCAGGAACACAGGCACACAAGCAGGAACACAGGCACACAGCGGGAACACAGGCACACAAGCAGGAACACAGGCAGACAAGCAGGAACACAGGCACACAGCGGGAACACAGGCACACAAGCGGGAACACAGGCACAAAAGCAGGAACACAAGCACACAAGCAGGAACACAGGCACACAGCGGGAACACAGGCACACAAGCGGGAACACAGGCACACAAGCGGGAACACAGGCACACAAGCAGGAACACAGGCACACAGCGGGAACACAGGCACACAAGCGGGAACACAGGCACAAAAGCAGGAACACAAGCACACAAGCAGGAACACAGGCACACAGCGGGAACACAGGCACACAAGCGGGAACACAGGCACACAAGCGGGAACACAGGCACACAAGCGGGAACACAAGCGGGAACACAGGCACACAAGCGGGAACACAAGCGGGAACACAGGCACACAAGCGGGAACACAGGCACACAAGCGGGAACACAGGCACACAAGCGGGAACACAGGCACACAAGCAGGAACACAGGCACACAAGCGGGAACACAGGCACACAAGCGGGAACACAGGCACACAAGCGGGAACACAGGCACACAAGCGGGAACACAGGCACACAAGCGGGAACACATGCACACAAGCGGGAACACAGGCACACAGCGGGAACACAGGCACACAGCGGGAACACAAGCGGGAACACAGGCACACAAGCGGGAACACAGGCACACAGCGGGAACACAGGCACACAGCGGGAACACAGGCACACAGCGGGAACACAGGCACACAAGCGGGAACACAGGCACACAAGCGGGAACACAGGCACACAAGCGGGAACACAAGCACACAAGCGGGAACACAGGCACACAAGCGGGAACACAGGCACACAAGCGGGAACACAGGCACACAAGCAGGAACACAGGCACACAAGCGGGAACACAGGCACACAAGCGGGAACACAGGCACACAAGCGGGAACACAGGCACACAAGCGGGAACACAGGCAGACAACCGGGAACACAAGCGGGAACACAGGCACACAAGCGGGAACACAGGCACACAAGCGGGAACACAGGCACACAAGCGGGAACACAGGCACACAAGCGGGAACACAAGCGGGAACACAGGCACACAAGCGGGAACACAAGCGGGAACACAGGCACACAAGCGGGAACACAAGCGGGAACACAGGCACACAAGCGGGAACACAGGCACACAAGCGGGAACACAAGCGGGAACACAGGCACACAAGCGGGAACACAAGCGGGAACACAGGCACACAAGCAGGAACACAGGCACACAAGCGGGAACACAGGCACACAAGCGGGAACACAGGCACACAAGCAGGAACACAGGCACACAAGCGGGAACACAGGCACACAAGCGGGAACACAGGCACACAAGCGGGAACACAGGCACACAAGCGGGAACACAGACACACAAGCGGGAACACAGGCACACAAGCGGGAACACAGGCACACAGCGGGAACACAGGCACACAGCGGGAACACAGGCACACAAGCGGGAACACAGGCACACAGCGGGAACACAGGCACACAGCGGGAACACAGGCACACAGCGGGAACACAGGCACACAAGCGGGAACACAGGCACACAAGCGGGAACACAGGCACACAAGCGGGAACACAGGCACACAAGCGGGAACACAGGCACACAAGCGGGAACACAGGCACACAAGCGGGAACACAGGCACACAAGCGGGAACACAGGCACACAAGCAGGAACACAGGCACACAAGCGGGAACACAGGCACACAAGCGGGAACACAGGCACACAAGCGGGAACACAGGCACACAAGCGGGAACACAGGCAGACAACCGGGAACACAAGCGGGAACACAGGCACACAAGCGGGAACACAGGCACACAAGCGGGAACACAGGCACACAAGCGGGAACACAAGCGGGAACACAGGCACACAAGCGGGAACACAAGCGGGAACACAGGCACACAAGCGGGAACACAAGCGGGAACACAGGCACACAAGCGGGAACACAGGCACACAAGCGGGAACACAAGCGGGAACACAGGCACACAAGCGGGAACACAAGCGGGAACACAGGCACACAAGCGGGAACACAAGCGGGAACACAGGCACACAAGCGGGAACACAGGCACACAAGCGGGAACACAGGCACACAAGCAGGAACACAGGCACACAAGCGGGAACACAGGCACACAAGCGGGAACACAGGCACACAAGCGGGAACACAGGCACACAAGCGGGAACACAGGCAGACAACCGGGAACACAAGCGGGAACACAGGCACACAAGCGGGAACACAGGCACACAAGCGGGAACACAAGCGGGAACACAGGCACACAAGCGGGAACACAAGCGGGAACACAGGCACACAAGCGGGAACACAGGCACACAAGCGGGAACACAAGCGGGAACACAGGCACACAAGCGGGAACACAAGCGGGAACACAGGCACACAAGCGGGAACACAAGCGGGAACACAGGCACACAAGCGGGAACACAAGCGGGAACACAAGCACACAAGCGGGAACACAGGCACACAAGCGGGAACACAGGCACACAAGCGGGAACACGGCGGGAACACAGGCACACAAGCGGGAACACGGCGGGAACACACGGCCGCTGCTGTCTGAGGGAGGACTCACAGTTTGAATGGCAGGAACGGCCGGGAGAGCGAGCGAAGGCAGGCCTGGTACATGTCTTTCCCCTGGTTCACGAAGTGCCCGCGCCACACCGTGTAGCTGCGCCTGCCTGTCACACGCCGGAGGGAGGACCGTTAGAAACACAAGCAGGACAAACAAGTATGCTATCATCCCTTCCCCATTCCACTAAAGGGGAATGTGAAGATTTCTTCCATACAACAACAGTTCATTAAGACTAAATTACAAAGTAATTAGTTTGTAATTAGCTAGTCATTTCACTCGGCGGCCATCTTTGAACCGCTCCTGTCTCTCTGAATGGGGAAACACCACATTCTCCAAAGCGGTTTGCTAAACCTCATTTGAAATCAAGAAAATCTGACAACAACTGTCTCATAAATGTAGTTTCAGCTGCAGTGAAACAATGACTTTACCAGTCACCGATTGGCTCTTTCATTTGGAAGGCGGGACTTATTTCGCCTATATATATATATATATAAAATAGGGACTTATTGAGACTTTCACAATCACATTAACTTTCTACAGTGAACCTTATAAAGACTGAATCGTAAATTGCTGGCACTTCAACTCGTATACAGAACCATATATATCTTTTTGTGCTGTTTGTTGTTCAATACCGTTTTGAATGTTGTTTCTTTGTTTTGAGTTTTTTTGGTGTTTATATAAAGTCACAAAAGATGCTTAGGCTACTGTTTATTTTACTAATTGGTTGAAACACATGTTGATGACGCCTATAACCCAGATTTATGATTAGCATTTACTCAGAGAAGCACGTGTTTGTTATAGTAATTATGAGTGCAGTATAAAGTACACAGACTATATAAACTGTTGTAGTAAAGGAAAAGAGATGTAATAACAGCAGTGAAACGCTGTTGTGCTGAAGTGCCGCCCACCTCTGCTCGTCCCTGACGGCTGACTGCTGGTCCTGAGGAAAAACACAGTCTCCATTAAACTGCAGTTCTGAGAGTCACAACACCAAGATTTAATACTTAATATAATATTCGACAATATTAATAATAATAATAATGATAATAATGAATTTTATTTATAACGCGCTTTTCTTAAACTCATAGCGCTACAATATACAAAAAAGAATAACAACAATAAGATACAATAAAACAAACACATTCATTTGCAATAAGCAGCTCTAAAAAGGTGTATCTTTAAAGACTTCTTAAAACAGTCCACTGTTGGAGAGTCTCTAATTCCCGATGGTAGAGCAGTCCATAGACGTGGTGCTGAGACCGAAAATGCTCGTCCCCACATTGACTAATTTATATCGAGGCTGCTGAAGGATGCATGACCTAGAAGAGCGCAGAGAGCGAGCTGGAGTGTAAGAGGTAACTAAACTGCAGAGATAGGCAGGGGCTGTCCCATGAATCGCTTTATACGTTAAAACCAGTGTTTTGAATTCGATACGTGCTTGTATAGGCAGCCAACGCCAGTCATGGAGTACCGGGGAAATATGTTGTCGAGCAGTTGGGTGTGTCAAAAGCGGGGCGGCTGAATTTTGAATATATTGTAGTTTTTTGATGGATCGATTTGGGAGACCAGCATAGAGTGCATTGCAATAATCAAGCCCCGACATATTAAAGCGTGAATAAGCCTATCTGCATCTCGGAGCGATAGAAACGGTAGTAGTCTAGCGATATTTCTAAGATGGAAAAAATGCAGTTTTTGATATCATTTTAATATGGACATCGAACATCAGTTCTGGGTCAAAGATAATGCCAAGATTGCGCACTTTAGAGGACGGAGTAACAAAGTCATGGCCATTAATCAAATTTGAACTGTTAAGTTTAAGTAAACCCGTTGACATACCGACAAATAGAAGTTCTGTTTTTGATTCGTTAAGCTTAAGAAAGTTGTCATGCATCCAGGCTTTTATCTCATCCAAGCAGGTGGTAAGAGCTGTAACTGCAAGGTTTGGATTAGGGTGCATGCTGATATAGATCTGCGTATCGTCAGCATAACTATGAAACCCTAACCCAAACTTACGAATAATGTCACTCAAAGGCAACATATAAAAGCTATTTTTCTTCTTTTGGCACTCAACGGAGGCTGTCGCATTTTCTCTCGTGTGGAGAGAAACACGAGAGAAGTGTGTCTGGCGGCTCTTTCCGTGGACTGATTGTGTGCTAATGTTGCTGAGGTGTTTTTTCCCTGTTCCCACACTGTACTTACAGGAGCATAGTACACTGTACACTGTACTTACAGGAGCATAGTCAGGGGGTTGCCTTTTTCTCCTCACCTCTCCTCATGTCATGCTGTATTTTTTTTCCTCAATTCCCTGTCTTCCTGTCCCGTCTACCCCCTTGTCATATCGTATATATGTTTGTATGGACAGGTTGATGGCCAATTTCACTGGTACTTGTGACTAAGTGACAATAAAGAGTTTACTACTACTACTACTTTAAATAAGAAGGGACCAAGCACGGACCCTTGTGGGACACCCTGCTGAACTAGTGTAGGTATAGATTTGTTTTTACCCAAAGACACAAACTGGAAACAATATTATTGATCTCCTGCATTGACACCATTATATGAGAACTGAGCTGGACGATGACATCACGGTTTTCTCCAGAGCAGCTATATATATAAATTAACTAAATTAATAACTTTTTTACAACAAAATGAACCATCACTGGACATACTTAAGCTGGACTGTGACGCTATTTTCTTCTGGAAACAAACTTTGTTGCATTATTCTCCTGTTATCACTGTACAGCTGCTTTGAAACCCTCTGTGCTGTTAAATAAAGCTGACTGGACTTGAGCGGAGCAAGTGCAGCAGAGCAGGAGTACCTGAGCGGAGCGAGGGGTTTGGGCACAGCCGTGGAGGTCTCTCTGCTCTTGAAGTAATACGAGACCACAGCGTACGGACACACGTGTCTCGGCCGGGACGAGATCTCGAAGTCCACGTACTCGTAGAAGTATTGCTGCGAAGAAAGACCCTTCAGACGTCTCACACAAAACACATGCGCTTATGACCCTCTGATCAAGCCGTAACACTTCACAATAATGTTCATTAGTTAATGTATCAACTAACATGAACTAACCATGAGCAACACATCTGTTACTGTATTAGTTCATCGTTCTTAACGTTAGCTAATAAAATACAGCCGTTTATTGTTTGTTCATAGTGCATTAACTAATGTTAACAAATACAACCTTTGGTTTTAATAATGTATTAGTACATGTTGAAATTAATATTAACTAACATTAATAAATGCTGTAGAGTATTGTTCATTCTTAGTTCATGTTAGCGTAACCGATCATCAGTATCGACTCGTCCTTCAGTGAGGAAGCAGCGTGTTTACCTGAGTGTACTCGAACGACCTGTACGCCAGCAGCGACGTCACGCGCGTCGAGTTCTTGGAGAAGTGGCTGTCAAACTTAGGAGTGGGATCTATACATCTGGACATACAGTCATGCACACTCTTGACTTTACCCTGGAGGACACAAGATCGAACATTTCTCAGACTCCACAACACCACGACTTTCATCTGGACACAACACATCATCAGCTGCTGATGTACCTTTATGACTTTGAAGATGACGATGTTTCCCGTGGATCCAGGCTCGATGGGGCTGATCTGAAGCAGGTCAGAAAACTGACACAGGTAAACCCCTGCAACATCAACACATTCAGCATTCACTGGAGGAACAGCAGAGCACGACACGGCTCACACACAGCAGAGTCGGCACAAGGCTCACACACAGCAGAGTCGACACGGCTCACACACAGCAGAGTCGACACGGCTCACACACAGCAGAGTCGACACGGCTCACACACAGCAGAGTCGACACGGCTCACACACAGCAGAGTCGACACGGCTCACACACAGCAGAGTCGACACGGCTCACACACAGCAGAGTCGACACGGCTCACACACAGCAGAGTCGACACGGCTCACACACAGCAGAGTCGACACGGCTCACACACAGCAGAGTCGAGAGCGGCCGTATGCACTCACTCCGCAGACATGCAACCGGTATTTCATCAGTGCATTCCTGAGTGCATTGGTCATTTGGTAACCCTTTACTTGAAGGGGTGTGCATAAGACTGTCATGACACCTTCATAATCATGACATGACACATGTCATGAATATGAAGAAGGGTTTATGCATGTTTATGACAACTGTCATTAAGTGTCATTTGCTCAATTATGACATTTTGAATGCAAATTTGACATTGTTTGAGATGTCTTTGTTATGACAACTTGACATTACTAAGACAACACAACCTGTCATAAATATGTCATAAACATGACATAGCAGATGAATTATCAAACTTAAAGGGATACTCCACCAGTTTTTCTTATTAAACTATGTTATTCCCTTAACTAAGACGAGTTGATACATACCTCTCTCGTCTCAGTGCGTGCACTATATCGCTCTGTATTGCCGCAAAACTATGTTAGCACTTAGCTTAGCCCATGCATTAAATATGGGCCAAGCAGAGAAGCGACCAAACACTTCCACGTTTTCCCTATGTAAACACAGTTACTCGAGTAGTGTAACTTGACCTGGGCTGGTGACACAAAATAAACCGTTGCGCTTTTCTAAGCGTTTAAAATTGATGACTATATTGTATGGCGGAATACCATAACAAGTGCTTTTGAGCAGTTCGACTTGGCGCAATAATATCTTCACTAGTGAAAAGTCCTCTTACCGGCTCCCGCTTCCTCTCCCCCTCCCTCTGACATTTCCGTCAATACAACCAACGTGGCTTTTACTACCTGTGCTATTAGCAAACTGCAGATCATTTGCAATGGCGGACTTTGTAGATGATTATGACTTCTTTGTAGAAGACCCAGAGCCATATCTGTTTGAACCCGAGTACACGGAGGAGGAATTAGCTCTTATGGACCGTGAGAGGAAAGAAAGATATGATCCAGAACAGACCGGAGCTGGCGAAAGACCACGGGCAAACAGCAATTGGTGGTGCAAGTGTGACTGTTGCGAACAGATGCCGACCGAAATTGAGAGCCTGTGCTGTTTAGAATGCTAACTAGCTTCCAACAACCTGTTACTTCGTCAACTCCGCTCGAACTACTACTACCGGCGCATGTCACGTTGGTTGTATTGACGGAAATGTCAGAGGGAGGGGGAGAGGAAGCGGGAGCCGGTAAGAGGACTTTTCACTAGTGAAGATATTATTGCGCCAAGTCGAACTGCTCAAAAGCACTTGTTATGGTATTCCGCCATACAATATAGTCATCAATTTTAAACGCTTAGAAAAGCGCAACGGTTTATTTTGTGTCACCAGCCCAGGTCAAGTTACACTACTCGAGTAACTGTGTTTACATAGGGAAAACGTGGAAGTGTTTGGTCGCTTCTCTGCTTGGCCCATATTTAATGCATGGGCTAAGCTAAGTGCTAACATAGTTTTGCGGCAATACAGAGCGATATAGTGCACGCACTGAGACGAGAGAGGTATGTATCAACTCGTCTTAGTTAAGGGAATAACATAGTTTAATAAGAAAAACTGGTGGAGTATCCCTTTAAGAAAGCACTTAGCTTTATGGGTTAACATTACATTAAACTGTCAGGTGGTTGGTTTTGACATTGGCTGTCATGAAGCCATTATAACATTTTAATGACAAATTCAATGTGTACCACTGTAGTCGAGGTCAAGAAAAATATTCATGACACAGTTATAATGGCCTTATGACAGCCAATGTCAAAACCAACCACATGACAGTTTAATGTAATGTTAACCCATAAAGCTAAGTGCTTTCTTAAGTTTGATCATTCATCTGCTATGTCATGTTTATGACATTTATGACAGGTTATGATGTATTGTTGTATGTCAAGTTGTCAAACAAATACATCTCAAACAATGTCATTTTTTTTTTTTTAAATGTCATAATTGAGCAAATGACACTTAAAACAAACAAAAACAATGTATAAAGTTTATTTTAATTTTCAGTTTTTGGCTAAATGGATACTTTAATTTTGGTGTTTTGGTAAAAAAATAATAATTTCGGTACATCACTAATTATTATTACTATTATTTTAAATATTGTTTGTATTTTTATTAAATTGAAAAAAAAAATCATACAGAAACATTATTATACTAATAATTCTATTGTACTGTAAAATAAAACTTAATATTTATAAATAAAAACGAATTACTAATGTTTATAATAATACCAATAATAATGTAAAACTGCATGCAGAGCTTAAAGCTATTGGTGGATGACAGATTTATGATGATTCTCATGGTCAGATGGTGTGTGTGATGACGCACGGTGATGCGCTCGCGCCTTGGAGTGGCTTTGACGAGGCGTGGACCGGTACTCGTGTCGTACCTTTGAGTGTGTGTTGTGAATGTAGATGTAGTGTGAAGGTTTGACCTTTCGCTGGATTCCCCAGCATGTTCATCCAGCTGCTGCCCACAGACAGGCCTCTCTCACACACCACGGAGACCTGCACACACACACACACACCAGCGGTTACAGCAGAACCCCAGCACACGCTGCTATCAGCACTCAGAGGAGGACGAGGTTTACCTTCTGAGCGTCACACATGAGGAAGCAGAAGGATTCAGACAGCTCCTTCTCCGTGCGCCCGTCCAGCTTCAACTCCCGCCGCTTCTCCATGAACTGCACACACAACATCCCAACATCACTACACACACATATCCACACAAACGTGAAGTATTACTGTTCAAAATCCCATCTGTAGCTACACGCCTGCATCTCGGTTTACCACACTGTTCAGGAGGAATGAAGGATGAGATTAACCCTCTTTGTGCAGACGACAGTCTGAGAACACACACTGGGAGGATAACGGTGTATGACTGACGCTACAGTGCAATATTCTCCAGGAGTTTACACACTCCACATGCTGAATCAGGCAAACTCCCCCCGACGAGTGACACACACTGACGCTCTCCGGCGGCCGACACTGAAAACTACTGTTGCTTGCCTGTAATACGGTTTTACATTTATATTAGCTAGGTTTTAGCTGTAGTAGCAAAATTGGAATAGAGAATAGTTTTTTTTTTACTGCTATCTAACATTTTGGTTTCATGGCTGGTAAAAAAACATGAATGGCTAGTAAATTTTCTTAAGTCACTAGCCACTGGTATGTGTGCCAAATGGTTACTTTAAGCCCTGGATAGAACATGTGACGCGTGCCTGAACACCTCTGAGAGTGGCTTCGGTGTCTGACCACTACAGTCCCCTACACGTGCTTTATAATGAGGGCACAGCCAGGCAATCCGCTTGGAAATGATGTTCATGTGAATAGTTCACCCAAAAATGAACATTTACTGGTTATTTGCTCACCCCAAGACCATCCAAGATGTATATGACTTTCTTTCCTCAGCTGAAGAGAAATTAAATAAATGAATCAATAAATTATAGAAATTTTAACAGCCAATGCTGACCTTATTCCAGCTCTGCGAGTCTCGTGAACGTGCTTCACTGGGCTGGAACAAGGTGAGCATTGGTTGTTTAGTAGTATATCATTGTTTTCCTGAAAATTACAGATTGTTTCACTAGAGAAGACCCGTATTTGTCAGCTGGGGTCACGTGGAGCCCTTTGAAGCTACAAAAATATGGATTTTAGACCGTCAATATATTGGGCACCATTCACTTGCATTAGATCCTGGAATGTTACATTTTCTCCAAAACCTTCATTTCTCTTCGGCTGAGGAAAGAAAGACACATCTTGGATGGCCTTGGGCTGAGCAACTTATCAGGAAATGTTCATATTTGAGTGAACTATTCCTTCTAATGCCAGATGTCAAGCAAGCCTTAGAATAGCGGCACAGGAAACACTGTATTAAAGGGTTTTTTATGACGAATTGTTTGTCGAATCCGACGCCAAAAAAATAAAGAGTATTGAGTATTTACCCACTATACATCGCCTGTTAACTGTCAGTGACATTTGGCGTACATTTTATTGCCTTTTTTCCCTTTCACATATTTAATGATCATACATTAGTTGTCATTCAAAAGCTTAAACACTCAAAATTCATTCTGCGAAAAACTTTTTTAAATTGCTCAGGAAACTGTACTTTAAAACCTTTTAGCAGTCTCAATTTTTCTGATATCAACTTGAAATACACCTGGGCTAAACACATGGCTTTGATTTCTGCTCATGCTCAGACGCTGGAGGCAGTTACAGGTGTGGACCTACACACCGACACAAGGGCATGTTTGCTGGAACATCTGACCTCCTGGCCAAAACATCTGATCTGTTGAGTCTAGTGTGGTATTCCCTTCTCTTGTTAGGATGACCTTAAGCGTAGAACACAAACATCGCTAGACACGCGCAACAGGCTGTGTGTTCCTATACACCTGGAGAGTGTCTCACGCGGAGTGGCTTCTGTTAGACGTTACTGACTCTTGACACACAATCTACATGATTATTCTTTATATAGGTGTTCGAGCTCATTTATAGATCATATAAGAGTGCGTGCTCACGTCTTTCTCCAGAGGGTCGCTGTGCACGAGGCGAGGCTTGGAGTACAGGAACGTCCCGGCGGAGGAGCTGTCCTTATAGCTGGAGCTGAGGATCTGCTGGATCTCGGAGAACTCCCGGGAGTCCAGGGACACGTGCTGAAACAGAGCTGCGGACGGGAACAGAGGCGTCACCACACACACACACACACGACTGCTCAAACACATCACCTGTGGGAAACAACTAATGTACATATCTTATAACTATTGATGTGCGACTCATGCGCGGCACACAGGTGCTTTAGTGGATGATGGCTGTAAGTCAGTGACGCCCTCTGTTGGCAGGGAAAGCAAGATGGCGCTCAAACACGTCCGGTGGCTTCACCGCCTGACAGCAACTCATTTAATATATAGCTCATTTATATATAGCTCATTTAATATAGCTCATTTATATATATATATATATATAGCTCATTTATATATATATATATATATATATATATATATCATTTATATATATATATATAGCTCATTTATATATATAGCTCATTTATATATATAGCTCATTTATATATATAGCTCATTTATATATATATAGCTCATTTATATATATATAGCTCATTTATATATATATAGCTCATTTATATATAGCTCATTTATATATAGCTCATTTTTATATAGCTCATTTATATATAGCTCTATATATAGCTCATTTATATAACGCTCATTCATATATATAGCTCATTTATATAGCTCATTTATATATAGCTCATTTATATAGCTCATTTATATAAAGCTCATTTATATAAAGCTCATTTATATATAGCTCATTTATATATAGCTCATTTATATATAGCTCATTTATATATAGCTCATTCATATATAGCTCATTCATATATAGCTCATTCATATATAGCTCATTCATATATAGCTCATTCATATATATAGCTCATTCATATATATAGCTCATTTATATATATATGAGCTATATATATAGCTCATTTATATATATATGAGCTATATATATATAGCTCATTTATATATATAGCTCATTTATATATAGCTCATTTATATATAGCTCATTTATATATAGCTCATTTTTATATATAGCTCATTTATATATAGCTCATTCATATATAGCTCATTTATATATAGCTCATTTTTATATATAGCTCATTTATATATAGCTCATTCATATATAGCTCATTCATATATAGCTCATTCATATATAGCTCATTCATATATAGCCCATTCATATATAGCTCATTTATATATAGCTCATTTATATAGCTCATTTATATATAGCTCATTTATATAAAGCTCATTTATATAAAGCTCATTTATATAGCTCATTTATATAAAGCTCATTTATATAACGCTCACTTATATATAGCTCATTTATATAAAGCTCATTTATATAAAGCTCATTTATATAACGCTCATTTATATAACGCTCATTTATATAACGCTCATTTATATAACGCTCATTTATATAACGCTCACTTATATACAGCTCATTTATATAACGCTCATTTATATATAGCTCATTTATATAGCTCATTTATATATAGCTCATTTATATATAGCTCATTTATATAAAGCTCATTCATATATAGCTCATTCATATATAGCTCATTCATATATAGCTCATTCATATATAGCTCATTCATATATATAGCTCATTCATATATATAGCTCATTCATATATATAGCTCATTTATATATATATATATATGGGCTATATATATAGCTCATTTATATATATATGAGCTATATATATATATAGCTCATTTATATATATAGCTCATTTATATATAGCTCATTTATACAGTGGTGTGAATAAGTTATTACCCCCATGCTAAAGTTGCCTAAAAAGAGGAATAAAAAATCATCTTTTGGAAATTGGTCTTAATGCCTTAATTAGAAAAATGAGGAAAAATCCAGAGATTGGCATGGTGTTATTTCAGTTAGCCTAATAGCTGGTTTGATTTGCATTGAAAGATGATCTTATGGAAAGTACCCCATGCCAATCTCTAGGTATGGTGAAGGGAATGTGATGATGTGGGTCTATTTTAATTCCAAAGGCCAAGGGAACTTTATCAGGATGCATATTATCCTGGATCCATGAAATAACTGGCCTTTAAAAATAAAAATCTGCCTGACTCTATGGGAATTTAACATAGCCTGACTTATGCACCCTGTATTTTAAGGAAGAACATTTATTTATTTATGATACATTATTCATACACAAAGAAAATTGGTGTCCTTAAAAGGTTGGATTTTTCCTCATTTTTCTAATTAAGGCATTAAGATCAATTTCCAAAAGATGATTTTTTATTCCTCTTTTTAGGCAACTTTAGCATGGGGGTAATAACTTATTCACACCACTGTATATAGCTCCTTTATATATAGCTCCTTTATATATAGCTCCTTTATATATAGCTCCTTTATATATAGCTCATTTATATATAGCTCATTCATATATAGCTCATTCATATATAGCTCATTCATATATAGCCCATTTATATATAGCTCATTCATATATAGCTCATTTATATAGCTCATTTATATATAGCTCATTCATATAGCTCATTCATATAGCTCATTTATATATAGCTCATTCATATAGCTCATTTATATATAGCTCATTTATATATAGCTCATTTATATATAGCTCATTCATATATAGCTCATTCATATATAGCTCATTCATATATAGCTCATTCATATATAGCTCATTCATATATAGCCCATTTATATAGCTCATTTATATAAAGCTCATTCATATATAGCTCATTTATATATAGCTCATTTATATAGCTCATTTATATATAGCTCATTCATATATAGCTCATTTATATATAGCTCATTCATATAGCTCATTTATATATAGCTCATTTATATATAGCTCATTCATATATAGCTCATTCATATATAGCCCATTTATATAGCTCATTCATATATAGCTCATTCATATATAGCCCATTTATATAGCTCATTTATATATAGCTCATTCATATATAGCTCATTTATATAGCTCATTTATATATAGCTCATTCATATCGCTCATTTATATATAGCTCATTTATATATAGCTCATTTGTTACTCAAGAGTGCAACAGACTTGAAACACTATGACCACTATGTCTAATTGACACGCATCCTCGCACCGGCACTCTGTTAAAGCCACCATGAAATCTTAATTCTTCTCTCTTTTTTTAACAGAATATTGCAGTATTTATTATAAAGGATTCATCCATGCACATCATTTAAGTTCAATGATGAACTTATCGAACTTTAAAAGATACAAATCTTTTATCAAAATAATTTCCCCTCCCTCTTGCAGCGACACCTTTGATGGCGTGCCGTGTGTGAAGACTGTGCCGTGTGTGAAGACTGTGCCGTGTGTGAAGAGTGTGAAGACTGTGCCCTGTGTGAAGACTGTGCCATGTGTGAAGACTGTGCCGTGTGTGAAGAGTGTGAAGACTGTGCCGTGTGTGAAGAGTGTGCCGTGTGTGAAGAGTGTGAAGACTGTGCCGTGTGTGAAGACTGTGCCGTGTGTGAAGAGTGTGCCGTGTGTGAAGAGTGTGAAGACTGTGCCGTGTGTGAAGACTGTGCCGTGTGTGAAGAGTGTGAAGACTGTGCTGTGTGTGAAGACTGTGCCGTGTGTGAAGACTGTGCCATGTGTGAAGACTGTGCCGTGTGTGAAGAGTGTGAAGACTGTGCCGTGTGTGAAGAGTGTGAAGACTGTGCCGTGTGTGAAGACTGTGCCGTGTGTGAAGAGTGTGAAGACTGTGCTGTGTGTGAAGACTGTGCCGTGTGTGAAGACTGTGCCATGTGTGAAGACTGTGCCGTGTGTGAAGAGTGTGAAGACTGTGCCGTGTGTGAAGAGTGTGAAGACTGTGCCGTGTGTGAAGACTGTGCCGTGTGTGAAGAGTGTGAAGACTGTGCCGTGTGTGAAGAGTGTGAAGACTGTGCTGTGTGTGAAGACTGTGCCGTGTGTGAAGACTGTGCCGTGTGTGAAGAGTGTGAAGACTGTGCTGTGTGTGAAGACTGTGCCGTGTGTGAAGAGTGTGAAGACTGTGCCGTGTGTGAAGAGTGTGAAGACTGTGCCGTGTGTGAAGACTGTGCCGTGTGTGAAGAGTGTGAAGAGTGTGCTGTGTGTGAAGACTGTGCCGTGTGTGAAGAGTGTGCCGTGTGTGAAGACTGTGCCGTGTGTGAAGACTGTGCCGTGTGTGAAGAGTGTGAAGACTGTGCCGTGTGTGAAGAGTGTGAAGACTGTGCCGTGTGTGAAGACTGTGCCGTGTGTGAAGAGTGTGAAGACTGTGCTGTGTGTGAAGACTGTGCCGTGTGTGAAGACTGTGCCATGTGTGAAGACTGTGCCGTGTGTGAAGAGTGTGAAGACTGTGCCGTGTGTGAAGAGTGTGAAGACTGTGCCGTGTGTGAAGACTGTGCCGTGTGTGAAGAGTGTGAAGACTGTGCCGTGTGTGAAGAGTGTGAAGACTGTGCTGTGTGTGAAGACTGTGCCGTGTGTGAAGACTGTGCCGTGTGTGAAGAGTGTGAAGACTGTGCTGTGTGTGAAGACTGTGCCGTGTGTGAAGAGTGTGAAGACTGTGCCGTGTGTGAAGAGTGTGAAGACTGTGCCGTGTGTGAAGACTGTGCCGTGTGTGAAGAGTGTGAAGAGTGTGCTGTGTGTGAAGACTGTGCCGTGTGTGAAGAGTGTGCCGTGTGTGAAGACTGTGCCGTGTGTGAAGACTGTGCCGTGTGTGAAGAGTGTGCCGTGTGTGAAGACTGTGCCGTGTGTGAAGACTGTGCCGTGTGTGAAGAGTGTGCCGTGTGTGAAGACTGTGCCGTGTGTGAAGACTGTGCCGTGTGTGAAGACTGTGCCGTGTGTGAAGACTGTGCTGTGTGTGAAGAGTGTGAAGACTGTGCCGTGTGTGAAGACTGTGCCGTGTGTGAAGACTGTGCCGTGTGTGAAGACTGTGCCGTGTGTGAAGAGTGTGAAGACTGTGCTGTGTGTGAAGACTGTGCCGTGTGTGAAGAGTGTGAAGACTGTGCTGTCTGTGAAGACTGTGCCGTGTGTGAAGACTGTGCCGTGTGTGAAGACTGTGCCGTGTGTGAAGAGTGTGAAGACTGTGCCGTGTGTGAAGACTGTGCCGTGTGTGAAGAC